CTATATGTTACATTAGCATGATGATACACACACACACACACACACGCACACACATGCATGTATATATGCACTTTATCAAACATATGCAGCTTCTCACAGCTCACTAATGCCATTTTCCATCAACCTGAATAATGTTATACAACATACACAGTAAGCAGTACATATATACTGTATACTGCATCTGTGTGTGTGTGTGTGTGTGTGTGTGTGTGTGTGTGTGTGTGTGTGTCTAGTTTGAATAATTGAAGTTCATATCAGGAGCTTCATCCTGCACAATCTGAAGCACGTAAATGTTCATATTTTCGCTCACAGTCACGCAGAAGCTCGATCCGCTGTCCTGGACGGCGCCGAGCTGCACCCCCAGGTTTTAACTCTCCTGTTTTTTTCCCGTCATTGCACTTTTCCGGGGTGTAATTTACATGCGCAGCCCTGCGCTGAACTCATTTGAGGCTGAAACAGATATTTATCTCTTTATGTTTTTTTATCTGGACGGAGCGCTTGATTTATGTGGCGTTGCGGCAGCCCAGTTTTTCCTGCTCTCTCTGCAGCTACAGTACGCTTAAGGTTAGCAAAACAGGATGTTTCCGAGATGATAAAGAGGAAGGGCGTGTTGTTTTACAGGGTGTTAACTGGGGTCTCTACTCTGATAAAAGCCTCGTGTCTTATCCGTCCATCCTTCATACTCGGTCTAAAGGACAGGTAAAGGACACGCCGCTCTTCGGGTGTTGACACCAGAAGTGGACGTAAATCATCAGGTACAGAATCATCTTTATTGCTTCTCTCTTTATTGGACACTCAGTACTTTTGTCCCTGTCAGAATAATGACCTGAACTGGAGCTCAGTGGAAGTGAGGACAAAGGGAAGTAAGGAGGCGTCCACGTGTGGGAAAATGTCAGCAGGACTCTCTTTATACATCTGACCTGAAACTCCAGTGAGAACAAGACCTCAGCTGTTCGTGGTTAATGTTTCAGGAAAAGGTGGAACCAAAGCTCTGACGTCTGTCCGGTTTTCCAATCTGGACTCCAAAACTCAGAGTCGACATGTTCTGGCTGTCTCCCTTACGCTGAGTCAGCCGTTGCACTTTGATAAACCTTAAATAGACTGTGTCCCGATCCAGGAGCTGCAGCCTTCAAAGGCCTCATTTGAAGACCTAATGCAGCGCGTCGAAGGCCGTCCCAGTCCAGAGGCTCCTCCCACTAATTCTTCTCAGACTGTGAAGGTTGCATCAGGCGCGTCCTTCGAGACCAAACTCATCCTGTGATTCTCTGTTCGTTTATACAGTTTAATTTCATTATTTAAGATAGAGACATTTTAGATACAGGTGTGGGTCTGAACGGCTCCTCACAGCGCCCTCTGGTGGTCCTGGTGGTTGTGTTGTATCTTATAAACGAAACAAGCAGATTTAAAATATTTAAACTGTCAAAACTTTAAAAATGTGTTCCTCGAGGATATGCTGATGGAGATATGAGATAGGGGGCGCTAAATCTGTCGAGTATTATGGGGCGCTCACAGTAAAATCATCTACTTGCTTACTTCGCGCGTCGACGGTAATCTCTGCCAATTCAACCGGTGAGATGGAGCGACAGACAAAAGTTTTTTTACAATTTACCAGGTAATCCGACTCCTCGCTCACTTTTAATCTTAGTTTCAGTAATTGAAAGAAAATAGATCTTATAATTCGGGGCACCAACACACCGACACGATCAGTTTGTCCTCCATTTTAGAAACCAGTGAACAACCGTCCACTTTCATTCGTCACCCGGGAATCTTCGTGCTGATCGGTTACCACGATGCAGCTGTCCGCTCAAGTTGAAACATTTCCAGCTCCCGCTCAATTCGCTTCGTTCACGCCGCCAGAGTAGTAGGAGCGTCTAATCGCATCTTTGCATTGACGTAACATGTAATTCATTCGCGCGAATGATTTTACCTGCGCTTGGTGTGTGGAGACGGTAACACTGTTAAATAAGAGCGTTTGGCTGAACCATAGACTGTATGAACAACTTGGACAACTTGATTCCGCCGTCCGTGGATTTGAAGATGAAAATCTCTCGGTAATTTCACGATTTTTCTCCACTTTCTGAAACCAACACTACGCAGTCGCGTTGTACGCATTCGGCGAGAGAGTCGCTGTGATGACGCTCGGCTCGAACAGCGTATCCTCCGGGTGATCTACACAATCTTCGTACGCCAATAGGCTGCAAGTATCAATCGTAGGAAACATGAACCCCTTAATAACTTTTAAAAACGGAGCTGTACAGAAAAAAGACCTATGACCTATACTGCAGCCCGTCACCAGAGGGCGCTGTTCTTCACCCAGCGAGGTAGCAGACGGCGTCCATTCGATAAACAGTCTGTGGTCTGAACTGAGTGGAGAGCAGGACAAACGCTCAGACAGAGTCTCAGTCTCCGTTTTTACACCAACATACGAAGAGCGTCTGAAAGTGTGAAAACCTGACAGAGTGAACTTCAGCGTCAGACTCTCTCTCAGTGAACCACAGAAGAAGAAGAAGGAGAAGGTGACATTCAGGAGTCTAAAACCAATCAGTTTTGGTTTCTGGTCGACCCGGCTTCCTGCCTCCTGTAATCCTGTTACGACACCTCCGCCGACAGAGGCTTTATTTCCTGAGCCTCATTTCAAACCCGCACAGACGTTTAGAGGCAGACAGAAGTTTCCTCTCCTGTCTGATCTGAGAGTTCAGTTTCTACCCCGCAGCCTGATCCTACAGCGTTGAAAACAGACAGACAGGAGCGAACAGGGTCGGTGATCGGTTCTGCATCCTATCACAGCTGATTCAGAGTCACTACAGGCCCCTGAGGTCATGATCGATATGAGACGGCTCTGAATGTCTCATGTCTCTGCTGTGGTTAAATGTCAGAGGACGTGGTGTGGAGAATCCGACTTTCACGGACGTCTGCAGCGGTTTAACTCTTGACTCTGTCCTGGTGGTCCACTTCCCTCTGTGATATATCAGAACCCGCTCTGTCTGATTCCGGCAGCCGTTTATGTTCAGCCGGCGTCCCCTCGACTCGTTTAGCAGCAGAAAAACCGCTGATTAAAGGTGACAGTAAAACTCGACAGATGCCGCGTCTCCCCTGAGATCCTGGATCAGGAACCATCCAGAAAACAGCAGAGATGAAACCAGACTGATGTACCTGCTGCTCAAAACTTAATTCCACCCAAGAGGCGATGCTGGAGCCGGCGCTGGAGCCGGCGCAGAATTCATTTACTGAGATAGATCCCCTGGCTGGACTCGTTTCCATAATTTCATGTCAGTTGGCGTGAAGTTCAAACGTTTGTGACGAGTCCGAACGTGATCTATCCAGACCAGAGCCGGTCCAAGTCTCAGTGGGGCCCTAAACAAAATGTGATTTCAGGGGCCTCTATTTCTGCCGATAATATTGATTGTTGATCGTGCACACTCCACTTTGATTAACATTCCCTGACATGCAAACAAACCTTCATCCTGGTGTTTTTCTCTTCTTCCTCTTTCTTTTCTCGGCTCCTGAAGGATTCGTCCTTTTTTGTGACATTTCTGTGACCCAAAACTACCTGCACTTTGGATGTTCAGCACACATCACACAGCAGGAGGAACAAAACGATAGCGGATCTTTGACGTATCGGCAGTAAGATTTAAAGACCGACATCAGCAGCAGCATGAAAATGTTTTTACTTTATTTTATTTTTACAATCATATATATTTGATCAGACAGAAAGCATCAGTCATTCATGCAAAAAGTAAAAAATATTTAAAAAAAATTTTTTGATCGCTCTTGGGGGCCCCCTACTGGCCGTATCAGGCGCTTAGGCTACGTTCACACTGCAGGGCAATTCTGATTTTTTAACCATCTGTGTCTCATATCTGATGTTTTCATCTAAGTGTGAACAGGTCAATTCTGATTGGTTCTAATCAGACCCAGGCCTCTTCTGCCTGGTTGTTGTGATGTGATCGAGCGCACAAAAAGATCGGATTGAACAAAAAATCCGAATTGTGCATCAGAACCTGCAGTGTGAACGTAGCCTTAGTCCGCTGATGCTTTGAGCGGACTCTGGTCCAGACCGCCTGTTATCCTGCTACAGACTGAAGACACAAACTAAATATTTATTTAAAGATATTTAATGATGTAAAACTGGATAATAACACATTTAATAAAATTCACTCTCTAAGTCTCTGTCGGGCTGCCATGGCAACGACTTTCATCAGCCTCCTTGTGGATCATTTTTATTTTATTTTAATGTCTCTAAAAGAAGTTTAAACTATATAATTATAATTATTTACATGTTTTTATACCAACTAAAAGTTTAACCTTTAAGTGAAACTTTTTTTTATGTATTGAAGATTTTAAATGTTCATTAATGTAGAGAATAAACGACAGCGGTCCAAACACTGAGCCTGAGGAACTCCTCGCTCTGTCTTCATCAGTTCTGATCAAACCTGATATATTGATTCTTGTTTTTAAGTAATCGATTAATTCTACTGTCACCCAGTAGTGCAGTGGGGAAACTTCCGGTCGTTGTCCAAACTCTCCCCAACTTCCTTAAGTTCAGGAGTTTATCGGTTCACTCCCCGCGTGTCGTGTTTCAGCGAGTAAACTCTGCGATCTTTGGTGAGCGTTCTGTCGTTTCATTAAAAACCTCGTATGATGTTGTTGTGTAGCAGCCGCTGATACCATTTAACGCCTCGCAGAGTTTATGCCGTGTTCGCTGTCGGGCGGTTAGTATAACCAAAGAAAATCAAGGTAAAGTATTTAACGTTGTTCAAAGAAGAAAGCCGAAACGTTGGCTATAGACTGACGCTGCAGACGCTAGTTTTTTTCCTCGCGGCGATGTGATAATTTTGAGCAGCTTTAGCACTTTTAGTCGATTCATGCTGAACTGCAGTGAGGTTTGGTTTAGGGAAAATATACACAGCCTAAAAGTAATGTTACACCACTCCTCTATATCCTCAGTCTGTATGAGAGGTTCTAGTTTTTCTATATCTATGCTGCGGATGGTGCAGTATCTAGTCTGAACGCCTCACACCGACCGTCGATAGCCGAGCAGCGCTCAGGTTAAGGCAGGTAAACGCGCCTGAATATGCGTGAGGTCCATGCAAAAAGGGGTCATGTGACAACCTTAACGAGACGGGACGGGTGAGGTCACGAGGACAGAGAGACGGGGAGGTGTCCTGAAGGACGAGGAGAAGGAGGTTCGTGTTAACGGCTGAAAAAGAGGCGAGATCCCAGGAGGGAGGAGCGGAGAGGGAGGACAGGTAGGAGAGGTACGACAGGTACGACAGGTCGCTCCCTCTGAGGCGTGTCGGGGGAGCGCAGAGACGACGCTGCCTGCGGATGATTAATGTCGGGGTCGCGGCGGTTTGTTGAAGGTTAGACGGGGACTGAGGCGGGTGAGGACTGAGGCGGCGGTCCCAGTTTGCCGCCATGACACCTGCGGACAGGGACAGTGGTGACTCGATTTAGAGACTCCCAGCAGGCCGCTGATGAAGCTCCGCTCGTCTCCCCCGAGTCTCCCCGGCCTCAGTTTTCCCTCCTCATGCTAAATTAGATCCCAGAGACATTCATCATCTGCAGAAATTGAAAAAGTTCCCGATTCTTAATTAAAGCGTCGGTGACAGATCTGAGAATCTTTAAATCTAATTCTGTCCTGCAGAGAGTCTGAAGAGGACTGAAGAGCAGAACCAACAGAAATGTAACCGCACACGACACCTCCAAACAGCTGTAACGACTTCTTTCTTTTCTTTCTCATAGACGCGACTCTGAGAGCCGAACAGGCGGTGATTAATTTGACTGCTGCTCCAGCTTCACCCCCAGAGTTTCACTCAGAATTTCTTCCCTTAAGGACCGAGAAAAAAAAGAGGCTCTGAGGAAGACCAGAACTTTGAAAAATGAGCTTTTTCTGCAGACACACTTCCTGTTAGAAGAAAGAGAAGAAGGAGGAACGATGCTGAAGACTAACTTTAACTTTGGCTTCAAACAGACTTTCCTCTCTGAGACTCTGAACCCTCAGAAGTTTAGTTCACTAACGCCGAGAAACACGAAATTACCAAAGATGAGTCGAGTCTGCACGGCGATAAAGGTCATCGACACAGATGTTCTCGACTTTACCTCAAATTCACTCGTTCATTCACGTCAGGTAGGAACACAACATCAGGCTCAGGTTCGACAACTTCAGCATCCCGAGTGTCTGAGGTTGTTAAACAAAAACACGCTGACCCCCAATTTCCACCACATCTGGAACGGCTACGAAAAAGGCCGTATCCGCCAATCGCAGCTGATCGTAACCATTCAAGTTAACGTGTCGATTTCCACCGACTTCTTTCCGTTCCTCTGCGGATCGCCGGACTCCTCAGCTGATCACAAGAGTTCTATTTTTTCTGGACGCCGGAGCATGGCGGATAAATTCAGCACAGATTAACCCGTGCTGGAAAGGAAGAAAGTTGTAAAAACTGTTAATGCAGCCAAAAGTACCACCAACCACTCATCTTACAGTCCGGGGACTATTTCCAATAAAAAGTGTCATTCCCGTGTTCATGAAGTCACGGTTCGGCGTGGTGGACATGAAAACTAAACAGCTGGTTTGATCTGTTCCATGTTTGATTCCGTTTGGACTTTTGCTCCTAAAGGTCCATCCCTCTTTTTCAGCACCTTCCTCTTGGTGAAGATCATCATCTGCTCTTTGTTTGGCTCGAACTAAACTTCTACGGTTTTGTGATTTACTATTTTGGACGTCTTCCAGACTCTGAACTGTCCCGGAGCAACAAGCAGCGACTCCAGGACACATGTAGGCCGACAGTCGGCGGAGTCGGTGAGTAGACGGGTGTGTTTTGGCTTTGACTGAGCGCGTCTCTGTCTGGATTACCTTCTCCACACTCACTTGAAGTAAAATTCAGAGGACAAAGCTCTGAACTTCTTTCCCAGAAATGTCTGTAACCTTTTAAAGAGCCGCCTGCAGATACAAACCGTCAGGTTTAATAAAAATCAAAGAAGTGGAGACTCCGAAACCACGACACTTTCCAACTACAGCCCGTCCGTTTCCACGAAACGTAGCTTTTTCTGTCCTGTCATGAATTTATGATGAAGAAATGTACTTTTCATTCTCACGTTAGAAAACAGCTCGTCTCACATGCAGGAAACAGTTTTTTCTTTTTCTTTTTCCTCCTTCTGCTCTAGAAATTTCTCAGAAATGAAGTCGTGTTGCTGAAACAACAAAAGAAAAATGAAGCAAACACAAAAACAGGAGAAAAGGAAAAGACGAAAAAGGAAATGATCAAGTTTATCGGTTAGAAAACGTCAACATGGCAGAAGTGTTAGGTCAGTTTAAGTGTTTTTATGTGTTTGTTTTAGAGACGTTTGATGATTTTATTGTCTGTTTTATTGAGATTTAGTTGTTTTTTTCGAGATTGTTTTATTTTGAAAAGACACTTTGTTAAATCAGTTACACCTGTGAGGCCCTCTGCCGGTTAAACAGGCAGTGAAACATCAGCAGACACAGGAAACAGGTGCAGCGACCAATGAGGGCCAAGAGGCGGGGCTTCTGCGACACTTGAAGATGATTTTTAAAGTTTATTGTTTTACTCTTTTACACTCTGTTTTTTAACTTTAATATCTCTGAGTGTCTCTTCTGTTTATTACTTACTGATCTTGTGATAACGGTGAATGCTAACTTGAGTTGCCTGCCTGGACTAGCTCCGAGGGGTCACTTTATTAAGGGTATAAGAGGATCGAATGGAAGAGGTAAGAAAGTTTCATGCGTTCAACCCTCACATGCATGAAGAGATGAGGAGAAATAAAGACGGCTCTGTTGTATCCTCTCTGGAGTTAAGGTCTCACCCCCGATTTCCAACATATCGAGAACGGCGGCAAAAAGGTCGTATCCGCCGATCGTAGCTGATCGTAACCATCCAAGTTAACGTCTAAATTTCCACCGACTTCTTTCCGTTCCTCAGCTGATCTCTAGAGCTCTATTTTAGAGTTAGTAATTAGCAGACGAAAATTGACGCCGTTGCGGATTGGAGACGTTCAGGATGTGGTGAAAATTGGGGGTCAGTGATGCAGAGGAAAGGAAAGGAGGAAAGGAAAGGAGGAAATAATCTCAGAAAATAATCTCACAGACGTTTAGATCGCTGATGTCCCCCTCCTGTAAAAGCTGATTTTCTCCCCTCACCCCCTCGTGTTCACCCTCTTTTCTCGGATCACACGGCGTTGAAAAAAAATCATCCGGACATAAAACATAAATGATTAAACGGTCGTCTTACAGGAGGTCAGCGTGGAGCGGAGCGGCGTCCGTCCACGAGAGGCGAGCGCTCGGCCTTAAAAGGAAAAGTGTGTTTCTTTCAGCGGAGTGTGTGTTAATGTGAACTGATGCCACTTCACATATGGAGATAATCCACATCAATTAGTAACACGAGGCTGAAGGTCCAGGAGCCGCGGAGACGAGGTCAAAGTGAGAGAGTTGATTTTTAATTTAACAGCTGCTCCATGAGCTGTTTACCCCGTCGTCCACATGATCGTATTCACTCCTGATGTCCTTCTGTTTTATTTATCATGAACTTACGTCTGTAAAGTCACAAACATGGATGAGAGTTTATAAAAAGTAAAACGCTTCACAGTTAAAAAAATTACAGATACACAAAGACGTGTTCAAAACTCCAAAACGTGTTTTCACCGAACAGGAACTTAAAGTCTTTCCTGAGTTTGAACTAAAATACTGATAAATTTGAGACGAGAGTTTCGCTGAATTTGTTCAGTTTAAGATCTCGACTCTCTGCAGATAAAGTTGTTTTATTTCGTGAAGATAGTCGGCGGTCTTTAGGTCTCTCACTCCTGGACGCAAACAAGAAATGTGAACGTTGGTTTAGCTCGTAATAACTCGATCAGAGGAGTCCTCGAACCGTTGGCCGATGAGATACTTACCCCCAATTCCAACCACATTTTGAACGGCTCTGATCTGAAACGGCGGCAATTTTTACCGTCCGTCAATTCCAACCAGATCTGATAGTGAGGCAAATTTGTGGCCGATTACAGACAGCAGGAATCGCAAGAACCTGCAGATTCACGTTCAATCACACGATAACAAGTTGTCTCTCTAAAGACAGACACATAGACAGGCCTGTCACGATAACAAATTTTGCTGGACGATAATTGTGACGATAAATTATTGCCGATAACCGATATTATTGACACCGTTTTTTAAATTATAGATAATGATAATATATGGCGTAATAATGCGAGTACACCACGTCAAAAGCAATAAACTTTAATTGCTCAAGATTAAGAACTTTGAACTAGGATGAACAAATATAACAAACAAGACAACCAAAAAACAATGAAAATAAAACAGACCCACATTCTGTTTTATCAAAAACTGCATTCAAATAAAAACCACAATCACAACTACAAACATTAAAAAAACAGACCTTGTCTCTGGTACGGAACAAAAACTTCACTCCACACATAACTATTAAAACTATAAATAAAGCGGAGTATCGAGTCTGTAAACAAAATTGCACTAAATAATTAGCTTTGGGTGCTAGTCCTCAACATGTCAACAAAGAACATGCATGCACACCTCAATCATCCCCGCGGATGATTGTCAGTGGAAAGTCAGTGTCAGAAGTCGGTGTAAATCGACACGTTAACTTGAACGGTTACGATCAGCTGCGATCGGAGGATACGACCTTTTCGTAGGTGGATGTGGTGAACATCGGGGGTTACTGTGTTTAATCCACCGATGAAACAAAGACAGTAAATGTTCATCACTGCCCGATGACTTTTTGGGACATTACACTTTTAAAAACGTTTTTAATCCTCTGAAGGTCAAAAACCATCAGGACTCGTCTTTATTATTTCAGATAATTTCATTTTTAAACAAATGTACTCTTGTTTTGATATTTCTACGTTGTGTCGGTGATTTCGTAAAGACCGTTTCCTGCCTCTGCTTCAAACTCGGAGGAAACGTCGGCGGAGCGTCTCTGTATTGAGTGCTGTTTAACCTGCAGTGAGACGCTCGGCCTCCTGGGAAACATGTCCCGTTCCTCCTCTACACCATCCATCACGGCCGCCGAGGGAGGCAGCCGGCTGTTTGGTCCCCAGAGTAAAGCTCCCGGCGCTGCAGGTTCGCCGTTAAAATCCACACAGAGCAGAAGGATGCGGGTTCCTGCGATAAATAAGCGTTTTGTGTCGAATAAATCAGCCGACAGTTTCATCGTTCAGTGTCCGAGGAGCGGGAAAACATCCAGACGGTGAACCTGCTCTTATTCCATCAGCTGGAAAAACACCAAAGGCGGGTTTGATCCGGAGTTATCGATCATTCAGCAGAGAAACAGTTCACTCCACCGACTTCCTTTACTGCTCCGTGTAAAGATGTCTGCAGACGCAAAATCAGGGAATAAAAACGTTGTTAAAGAGTTTTTTTGTATTTTTAGAAACACGATTCGACTCTGAAGGACACAGAATCACTGATCCCTAAAGAGAGTCGGTTTAGTCTCGTCTGGGTCGGTTCTGATCTGTGGATAAAGTGACTGACTGTGTTCACGGTTTTAGGAGCAGTTATGAGCCGATGCAGTGACTTCTACTACAGAGTCATGACTGTTTTTAATGCAGAAACACCTTAAATCACAGCCGTCCACTAGCTTTGGTCTTGTCGAGGGTGATCATGTTCTGAACCTCCAAAAAGAGGACACGACAGAGGCACAGTGTCGAGTGTTTTTTACACACTTCTAACTCAGAGAGTCCACGCCACAAAAACTCAGAACTTCCAAACAAAACCTCGGACATTTGAAGGATTTTATAAACTCCATCGGACAAGAAAGGACATCCCCAAAAAACGAGGACATGTCCGGGTAAAAGAGGACGTATGGTCACTCTAGTCTTGTCCTCTTAAAAAGAGATTATTCCAGATATTTCGACAATAATTAGTACTTTAAACGATCACATGACCTTAACATGTTTTACACTTTTACACTGAAATGGTAACCCAGGGTTTCCACATCGGCAATTTTCGCCATCGGCCGTCTACCGAATCCGTTGGTGAGGCGAATTTTGTGGCGGATTCAGGTGCAATCACGCGATAACGAGTTGTCTCTATAAAGACAGACACATAGACATATAAGCAGTAGATTGTGTCCTTCCAGAGGAGGAAATCTACTTCTAGACTTCTAGAATCAGCATCTCCTCATCCATGGTGTCATCGGGGTGAAATGACGTCTAAAAACCTTTCACTTGTTCGTCTCCGCCCGTTTGCATGGTGTGAAATACGATCCTCCTGAAACACGGAGTGTTTTATTTTGAAAAGAAGCCGGATGTTTTATTTTGTGTCTGTGCCCGACTTCCTTTCCAGCACGGGTTAATCTGTGCTGAATTTATCCGCCATGCTCCGGCGTCCAGAAAAAATAGAACTCTTGTGATCAGCTGAGGAGTCCGGCGATCTGCAGAGGAACGGAAAGAAGTCGGTGTAAATTGACACGTTAACTTGAATGGTTACGATCAGCTACGATCGGAGGATACGACCTTTTCGTAGCGATGGAAACTGGGGGAAACACTTTCTCACATCGTCTTTTTTCAACAATATTATGAGTCTGTTTTAAATCGACCTCACTGGTTCAGAGACGTTCCTTTAGCTGTTTTTTAAGCTTTAAAAAACTTTCTCAGTGTTTTTTATCCCACTTTCTGTGAGCAGTATTTATGCAGAACCTTTTTTATATATAAAATATTAACATTATGAATTGAATGTGGAGTTTAAAGGATTGGCAGACTATCAAATCAGTTTTTATCAACATTTTACACAGAGCAGAAATAAACTGGGTTAGTATAAAACTGAATTATGATATTGTGATGTTGTCGTTTCAGGATTCGTTACGGCTTCTTTATCAACAGGAACCAAGACTCCAGAACAGGAAAATGGAAAATTCAAACGCCAACGCCTCAAAATCAAGATGACAAAAATAAGAGCGAAAACGAACTAAAGATAAAAGTGTGTTAGTCTGAAAACCTTCCCCCTTAAACTAACTAGGAACCAAAAGTTCTCAGTGGATCAAAGCTGTCTTAAAAATGGTTCAATCTAAACAGCACATCCTTTTCTGATCATTTAAGTAGGTTTTACTTATTTTAGAAGTAAAATCATAATTAATGTTTTAAATTAAAACTATGAACACAGACGTCACAGAGAGAAAGTTTGACTGATTTCTGTTTAATCGGCTGAACTTTGCAGCGTTTTTCCACAGAGATGGATAATTAATCTGCAGCAGTTTGTTGTTCGTTTATATGAATCTAAAGTTAATAATCGTTCTCTGAAGAAAACTCTGCAGCAGGAAGATTTCCACCAGAGAAGTTTGAGTCGACCCTAAACATCATTCACTCCTGTGTCGACTGTGAACTGACGCCGCTCTGCTTCCCTCCCTTCTCCAGGTGTTAGTCCTCGGCAGGTATTTTCTACATGCTAACAGTAATTTTCGTCGCTTCAGTAAGTCGGCGGTTATCCTCCAGAACTCCAAAGTCACCGCTCTCTGCGAACATGTTCCCCGCGGCGGTGAGAGTATTTTTTAAAGACGGGGAGGAGGGGACAGAAACCTCTCTGGATGAAGCCGTGATAGAAGTAGAGTCAGTGTAGCATCGCGGTGACACTGAGCCAATGACACCGAGCAGACCGAGCTCCCACAATGCATCAGCTGTCCTCAAATATCAATTTTGCACTCGACTTCACACGGCTGACTCCCTACGGAGGACTCCTCCGGCTCGTTCCATCCATTTGTCATTAGAAGATCATCAGCAGGGGCCGAAACACACACACACACACACACACACACACACACACACACACACACTCATCTAGGTGTTGGGTATGAACCTCAGCGGGATGTGAGCGCGCTCTCTCAGTCTGTAAACTAGTTATCAAACAGTGTGTAAACTAGTTATCAAACAGTCTGTAAACCAGTTATCAAACAGTCTGTAAACTAGTTATCAAACAGTCTGTAAACCAGTTATCAAACAGTCTGTAAACTAGTTATCAAACAGTCTGTAAACTAGTTATCAAACAGTCTGTAAACCAGTTATCAAACAGTCTGTAAACTAGTTATCAAACAGTCTGTAAACTAGTTATCAAACAGTCTGTAAACCAGTTATCAAACAGTCTGTAAACTAGTTATCAAACAGTCTGTAAACCAGTTATCAAACAGTCTGTAAACCAGTTATCAAACAGTCTGTAAACCAGTTATCAAACAGTCTGTAAACCAGTTATCAAACAGTCTGTAAACCAGTTATCAAACAGTCTGTAAACTAGTTATCAAACAGTCTGTAAACTAGTTATCAAACAGTCTGTAAACTAGTTATCAAACAGTCTGTAAACCAGTTATCGAACAGTCTGTAAACCAGTTATCAAACAGTCTGTAAACTAGTTATCAAACAGTCTGTAAACTAGTTATCAAACAGTCTGTAAACTAGTTATCAAACAGTCTGTAAAGTAGTTATCAAACAGTCTGTAAACTAGTTATCAAACAGTCTGTAAACCAGTTATCAAACAGTCTGTAAACCAGTTATCAAACAGTCTGTAAAGTAGTTATCAAACAGTCTGTAAACTAGTTATCAAACAGTCTGTAAACTAGTTATCAAACAGTCTGTAAACTAGTTATCAAACAGTCTGTAAACCAGTTATCGAACAGTCTGTAAACCAGTTATCAAACAGTCTGTAAACCAGTTATCGAACAGTCTGTAAACCAGTTATCAAACAGTCTGTAAACTAGTTATCAAACAGTCTGTAAACTAGTTATCAAACAGTCTGTAAACTAGTTATCAAACAGTCTGTAAAGTAGTTATCAAACAGTCTGTAAACTAGTTATCAAACAGTCTGTAAACTAGTTATCAAACAGTCTGTAAACCAGTTATCAAACAGTCTGTAAAGTAGTTATCAAACAGTCTGTAAACTAGTTATCAAACAGTCTGTAAACAAGTTATCAAACAGTCTGTAAACTAGTTATCGAACAGCCTGTAAACCAGTTATCAAACAGTCTGTAAACTAGTTATCAAACAGGCCCTCAAATCAAAACCAGTAGTTTTGTGTCGTTCATGAACGATTCCTTCAAAAGAACTGAACTGCTGAGTGAACGACGTGAACTGAATCACTCTGAGATCTGATTCGTTCCTTTCTCAGTTCAGTTGAGCTCAGCCGCGAGTCTGGCGTGCCGGTCGGGAGTGGAACTGCTGCCTTTGACACACAGCCAGCGAGTGGGCGGAGTCTCCTGATTTGTTCACAGCGAATGAACGACATGTATCAGTCAGTGAACGACATGTTGAACCAAACGAACGACTTCCCAATGACTCGCGGCAGGGAGGGGTGTAGCGTCGTTCACAAACTGCCGAGCAGCAGTTTGTTGACTGAAGCTGAGATAAAACAGGTCATTATATCATCTTTACATTAATACTATCAGTGTCTGAGAGTGTGTGTGAGTGGGCGACTGTGACGTGGGGCGTTCGAGTCCGGAAGATACCATAAAAATGTCTATATCTGTGATTTGTTGTTGGGCGCTTTTTCAAAAATAAGTCGGTAGCAGGGTCTGAAAAGTCGTTAAATCTAACAACAAAGTCGCTCGATTGGCAACACTGGGTGAAGAGGGTCTCTGCTCCTCTGAAATGTGACTTTTTAAACTTTTATCACAATTTTTTGGGGCATTTATTTTTCCATATGACAAAGAAGAAATGAGAAAGATAATTAAGCCAAGACGACTAATTTTACAACAAACATGAACATCTGTCTTTAAAAACAGAGAAAGTCCTGACTAAAATGAGACTAAAGTTTGATCTGAGCTCCTTCGACTAAGAGCCAATCCCAATCGTCACTCTTTCCCCGCCGCCTTCGTCTTACCTCTTCATCGACACTTTGGGAAGGGGTGAAAACACGCCTCCAAGAAACAAGAAGCCACTCGATTCCCGTTACGTCATCACACCTTTACGTTTACTGAGAATTTGTCACCATAACAAGAGATTTTAAAACACAAACGATTGAAATCATTGCTAATATTTACGTAGAGTAGCAAAGGATTAAACATCTGATAAAAACATGAGAGCCACTTAACTTTATGGAGGATTGGGACACCCCTTCACTTGACATGAACGTGCAAAACTGAGGGCTAAGGGGTAAAACAGCAGACATAGACGACAGTGTGACTCAAATCAACCAAAGTTGAAGGTTAAACAAACTTAAACTGTCCCGTCAAGTTCAGACCAAACTGAGGACAGATAAAGCGGCTGTAGAGGGACAGAGATCAGAGGGATAGAGGCTGAAATGTTGAAAAGAGAGGCAGCATCAACAGCTCCTGTTTTATTCAGACGACATACGACTACATCAGATCACATAGCTTCTGCCTCGTGGGCTTTAGTGGGGCTGACGATGAACACACGGGACTCGCAGATGCACTTAAAAGATCGTACGTTGGCCGTCGAATCCGACATTTATTAATTAAAACGCTCACCGAGTCCGCTGATGAGCGCAGAGTGTCTCTGGGGACGCAGCAGAGTGGGTTTGGAGAGGCTGCTTTCTACGCTGGTGGGCAATTTGTGCCACCGTCCACCCACGCAGGTCGTCCACGTGTGCCGGTCTTCATGGGAGTCAGGTCTGAGTCAATGTGGACGATGTGATGCAACGTGAGATGAGGAGGAATTTTAACTTTTTTAATGACACTATTTTTAAGTCCTTATTAACAGTAAAGCAGTTTTTAACCAGTGTCTCGATTTGTGATGCAGTTTGAGTGAAATGAAACTTCTTTCTTCAAGATGGATTATTTTAAAATAAAAGCTGTTTCCAGTGATCTCTGGTTCATGCAGCAGTTTTTACATTTTCACTGAATTTCTGTTTCTTACCGGTCTTATGTCCCTGAAACGGTTAAAACATAATAAATTTATAATCACCCAAAATATCTGTATGAACTTAAACAGATCTGCAGAGTTTGGAAAATTAGATAATATTTTTCAGCATCTGAAGGAGAGGTGATTTAACTACGGTGTGCCAAAAGGGACATAAAAAAGCACACATTCATGCAAGTATGTTTTAGTTTTTACAGATTCTTCCAGAGTCTTGTTTTAAATTTTGTAAAAGTTTGGAAAAGGTAAATCAAACTTCACTGTTTGCAGAGTTAACTCTCACTCTTTTAGTCGCGTTTTAAAGTTTTAGTGACAAAACTTACACCAGACCGGGGGTCTTTTAAAGACTGTATCAAAAGCTGCAGTTCCTCATGTGGCCACTTGAGGCTGGTTCTTTAAGTGTGTTGATTCCATAGAGCCCCATGTTAAAGTGTCATCAGCAGAACTGAACATGGTTACAGCCTGTTAAAAGGAGTTTTTGCCAAAAGATGAAAATTTTACAGAAGTGAATTCAGGTTTTTGTGTAATTCAGCAAAATTAAGGGTGGATTTTAACGACTTTTACCGAACACCAGCTGTTGGTTTTAACTCTTGATATCCAGACCAGCCCCAGTCTGTCTCTTTTAAAACAGTTTTAAATGAGAGAGACTGGGGCAGCTGCTCACAGAGTTGATCTGTCGGTGATGAGGTTGAGCAAAAGTTTCTGAATTTCAGCTCATCGTTGGCGTTTCAGTCTGGATTTAAGTGATTTTACAGGTTTTAGAGCTGCAGGTTTCTTGGTTCAGACTTTAAAAACTTCAGATTTTCAGTCTCCACTGTGAACATGTTATCCTGTGAAATAAAGCCATGACTTTGACAGCTGTTTCCAAACTCTTCGACTGTCCGGCTTCACTTCCAAAATCGACTCATGTGTGTTAAAGCTGTTTTAAGTGTTTTTAATTGTTTTTATCTTTGATATCATTTGAGTATGGTTTCTTTGGTCTTGTTTCTGTTTGTTTTAGTGTGTGTGTGCTAACCTCTCTGTATTCAGTATTTTAAGACCAGCCTAAGATCCTTATTTTCAAACATTTGTTGATTCCTCTTGGGAAAGGAGTCGATTACTCCGTCTTGTTAAAATCGCTGGCATGTCTTTTAAAAGCAAAACTCTAAACTGAACCTGATTTTGAAATACAAAGCTTCGATCAAAACCAACATTAACGCACTTTTGTAAACCGTGGCCGCCCTGACCTCAATTTGCCTCCATTTGTTAACGCAACAGCAAAAACCGAACGTAGCACCAATTAAGTTTTCCCTGTGGATGAAAAAAAAAAGTTAAAACTAAACGAGATTCGAGTGTTTTGGTTTCACCAAAGAGTAGATAAAGTTTGTCTTTCCCTGTGCAGGCGGTCGTCCTGCGGCGACGGCATCGCGCCATGATCTGCAGCACAAAAGGGAAGAAAGTGACGTTTGTTGGTGAAGCCAAATATCTCAGTCGCTTTCATCGAGTCACCTAATTATTCCTCCTGAGGTCCAATTAGCCTGATGGTGGCTGAACATGAAGCAAATCGGTCAAAAAAAGAGGAGCCAATGGAAAACTGGCGGTCTGTTCACACTGGGTACAAAGATGCTAAATATACTCTGCTTTTGTTCATCAGACAAATCCATTGCTGGTTGTTTCTTTAAATCAAGGCTAAAAGTTTTCATTTCTCTCTTAGGAAACTTTTTAATTGTTACGGCGGTGGAACGAGGATGTGACGGTTCTATTACGGTACAAAAAACTGGACCGGCACGCTAAAGACAACACAGCGGCTCTTGTTTTAGCCACGGACTGAATCCAGTTCAGTTATTTCACACAGATGGCCGATAACAATTGTAAGCCAGAACGGTCCTAACAGAGTAATAAGGTTACTTAATACGATTGTCAGACCCCCTGCCGTGCGTGTGCAAACTCACATCGAGTTTGAGCTTCAAAAGAATCAAGTGACGCAAAGGGAACAAAACGCCAACCGACACGACTGTGGATGACTGAGTGACCATGGAAAGAGGAGATTCAACCAGGAAGAGTTTCAGGCTATCATTGAAGAAAACGGACTTTAACTAATGGGAACCTCTTAGAATTTGAGTAGCAGCAACCTCCAGGGTTTAAAAATGAAGGTAAAAGGACCAAAAACTGTAGTTCCCTCAGCGTCCACTTGAGGCTCGCTCCAAAGGTGAGTCGATTTCATAAACACTCATGTTAACACACTCAACTCAACGAGCTTTGGATATTTAAGCAGGGCTCGACAGTGCGACCGTTTTACTTGCATTTGCAACTAAAAATAGGTGTGTGGATGTGTAAAATGTATTTTGTTTTTTCCTGTAAATACGGCGGTGAAGTTAGTTTCAGGTTGGATATATTTTCCTGTAAATACGGCGGTGAAGTTAGTTTCAGGTTGGATATATTTTCCTGTAAATACGGCGGTGAAGTTAGTTTCAGGTTGGATATATTTTCCTGTAAATACGGCGGTGAAGTTAGTTTCAGGTTGGATATATTCTCCTGTAAATACGGCGGTGAAGTTAGTTTTAGGTTGGATATATTTTCCTGTAAATACGGCGGTGAAGTTAGTTTCAGGTTGGATATATTTTCATGTAAATACGGCGGTGAAGTTAGTTTCAGGTTGGATATATTCTCCTGTAAATACGGCGGTGAAGTTAGTTTCAGGTTGGATATCTGACGGACATTCTCTGAGGATCTACCGGTGTCTTCTCACTCTCCATGACCGGGAATAAAAACAGCAGCGCGGTTAAAACTACTCGACACCCTCACTGTCAACGTCGGTGTTGAATAAGGGACCGTCAATAAATTACCAGTTGATGTTCTCAGAAAAGGCTGTTTTCCTTCAATAGCTGTAGCTGTCATGTGACCAACTGACCTAAAATTGATTTCAAATAATAGCACTAAGATCTACCAGTAAGACAAACATTATTTGATCAATTTTCATTGTTCCCCTAAAGTTCTTTGTGCTCCTTACTTTTTCAACTGGGAAAAAAAGTTAGTGTCAATCCCTGTTAGGCATGAAAAGGGGCGGGGTTTAGTTGACTGACAGTTGTCCATGATGTAGCTGTTGGTCCGGTGGTTTAACTCCACCTTTAAGGTCTGAGGGACGGTTTATGAAAAGTTAGAAATAGTGTTTCCAGTCTGGAGGCTGTGGTTAAGCTTCATAAAGCTTCTTCAGAGAGCGATGGACGAGGTCTCCGTGACGACAGTCATGTTTCATACGTCATGTGATGTTGGAGGTATTTTCAAGGCGCATTCACAGACAGTAGATATGACTGAATGTCTTTATTTAGATTTTTAAAAGGACATTTAAAGTAGAATCAAAGGTTCCTCTAAAATATTAGAATTCAAGGATTCAGTTATAGGACACTCCAAAAGGTGTTTGTGTTTTTATCTGTATTTATATCATTAATGAACAAAAGGAGTTTGAATATATCTGCTAAAATAAATCATCTTATTGCAAAATTTTCCACTTTTCAGACGTCTCTGCTGAAAGAGTTAATTGTGGAGGTTCTCAGAGCGAAGCCAGTTGGGAGGAGACCTCGAGGAAGGCTGGAGGGATTACAAATCCCATCTGGAAGAGCTGGAAGACGTAGCTGGGGAGAAGGAGGTCTGGGTGGACTTGCTGAGACTGCTGCCCCCCACGACCCCCATCCTGGAGAAAATAGATGGATGTTTTATTCTGAACTGAGCTTACCTTTCACTTTTTCCTTCCCGCTTACCTTTTACATCCTTTATTCTCACAAAAACCCTTCGAGGACGGGCGTCAGCATCTGCTTTAAACACTTCTATACTTCCACTGGACAAACAAACAAACAAACAAACAAACAAACAAATAAACAAATAATGCATTTCTACTCAGTGTAGGACACAACAGCTTGTCAGCAGCATTGCAGGTTGAAAGGACGTTTGCGGTCACCCTGTCTCTAACCATGACTAGAATGCTGACTGTATCCTAGGAAACCCAACTGTTGTCATTTTGCTGCCATGGCAACAGCATCTGATGTGAACCTCTGTGCTATTTGGAAGAGGAGGGAGTTTGAGGATAATTCACAGTGACAGGAGAGAACGTGAGCGTGGTTTTGTGAAGGAAGTTATCTCCAGTCGATCTGAGGTTGGTGAGTTCAGGCTGAAACTCCTCAGAAGTGCAGGAAATATTGTGTGGATATGTTGATTAAAGAGATTAAAACTCAGATTTTATGACCCAAGATCAAGAACTGAAGGATTTATGACGATCTACTTCTACAGTGAGAGCATATATCAACTGCCACCAGGGGGCGCTGTAGTTGGGATGAGATATCGGCACATGGATGTGTTCAAATCTTGACCCCCATTGTTGACGGTGAGTTTGAGTCTGATTGGAGGATGCATGGCCGAGAAAAAAACTACTTCCTGTCTAACAAGCGAACTCCGAGTGTTTCCCACGCCCACGTCCTTTAACTCGTGAGATTTTCATCGTTCTTATCTTAAAAACCCATAAAATAAGATATTTTTCATCAGACTTAGCACTTTTTCAACGTGTCAGATTCCTCAAAACTGCGATGAAAGACACTGATCGTAACAATAATCCTAATCTGAAGACTTCCTGTCAGGTCCTTTCACCTTCTCGGTGCTCGGGCCTAAAAATACAGATTTGATCAAAGTGAGCATCCACCTTATCTCCTTTCCTTCTTCATCTCCTCCTCTTCCTCCTCCTCTTCCTGTGACCGGCCAACATTCAGGACTGCATGTTAAGCAAAGTTTCTTTAACAATTGATACTGGTGAGCGTAAAGCACAGACAAATGGGCCGGGATGTGGACCATCCATCACACCCGGAGAAGACTCATTGTTTGCAGATTTTAACCTAGAGGAGTTCTTCCCGTTCCTCTCCTGTGAGACCCACAAATCATCAGCTGACAAGAAGAGCCGAGCTACGCCGGGCCGAGCCGGGCCGGGCCGGGACTGATCGCAGCTTTAGAGAGAAGAGATTCCTGCGTTTTGTCTGATCTGTTCACTCTGTTCGGGAATCGGCCTCCTAAACTGCCTCAGCAGCTTGCAAACAGCAGTCTGTTTAATTAAGGAAGGTGGAGTTAATCACTCAAATCCGTTTATGTCTTTCCCTCCGACAGCTTACAGATGTCCCGACTGTACAGCTCAGATGTTCTCCGTGTCATCATCATGCAACATTTACTTTAAAAACCTTCAAACAGTTTGACTCCAGACCAGCAGACAGCAGCTTCAGACTCTCCCTTCAGTTCAGTGTGAGTTTGTGGAGAATCACCAGGTTGGTGATTTCTAATCTTCAGGACGTCTGAGGAACAGAGAGCTCCTGAACGAGAGCCAAAAACTGAGCGGTTTCTCCTCAGAGATCAGAGATTGATGAAGCTGCTGCTGCTGCAGGACGAGCAGAGTTCAGCGAGGCCGCATTAGTCCAGAACAATCCCGCTTTCATTTGTCTTTATTCAACGAGCGCACTTTCCAGTTACATCTATTTTTACAAGGAGAGAGCAGAGTTTAAAGAATACGTATTACTGTGTCAAAAAAGAAGCTTCATTTATACCAGGAGTTGGGAGCTTTTCCTTTAAAGGAGACCCTGCAAAATAAACCAAAACTTACAAGTTTATACGTCTAAAAAGCTGAACCCACTGCTGAGAGTTTTCGCTTTGGCAGCTCCTTTTCTGATCTTCAGTTTCCCTCTGTTTTTGGGACATTCGAGGCTGAATCTGGACCCTGTAACCTCTCAAACAAAGAAGATAAGACAAGACAAATTTGACCCTCAAGTCAGAAACTGGTCCTGGACTGTAAATCCATGCAGAGATAAACTAGCACGGTATTTAGTGAATAATATTTAAGACCACAAATAGAGGGTATAACTAAACCATCTTTTGGTTTTTGTGTCCAATAATAATAATAATAATAATAATTAAAAAAACAACTTAAAGCAACAATAAATGTCGTCACTAACAGAACAAAAGCCGAGCTAAGCAGCATTGCATTGTGGGAGTCTAAGCTTAACCAACAAACTGAGGTAAAGAATCCAAAAACAACAAAAGTTCGAGTGTTTAGAGAGTAAAACACGACAGATTTAAACACAAGAACAACTTTGATACGAATGTTTGACCGAGTTTGAAGTTTGAGGGACTGAAATGACTTTTTATTGGTTCAAATATTTAAAGGGATAATCCAGTGTAAAATTAATTTTCTTTATCCTAAACCTGGAGATATTGTTCAGCATTATGCTTAAAACTGAGGATGCAGCATCTAGGATTTCCAGTTCTTTGTTGAAAGGACAACTTCGCTAAGGCGAAACGTCCCTAATAAATCCAGTTGTCCTTTCCAAAAGAGTGTTAGATTTTAGTTTGATTTAGTTCACGGACACTGATATTAAAGGGATATTACCTACCCACCTACTCTCTTCCAGCAGACGCTTGTTTGTAGTGAGACCTCAGGCCAGTCCTTTACAGACTACAGCGGGGTGACGCAGCTCAAGGAAGAACATTTATGATCATTTCTTTATCATTTCCTTGAAGTAATAATCATCATATTAATCATTTTTCTCTGCAGACGCTGTAGTTCTTCTATCTTAGCGTCTCGGTCTGATTGTATTTCCATGAAGAAATGATCATAAATGTTCTTCCTTGAGCTGCGGCACCCCGCTGTAGTCTGTAATGGACTGGCCTGAAGTCAAAGTTAAAAAGATGTTTGGTGTCTAGTTCTATGTCTGTGACCCTATATGTCCTGTTGATGAAGTTAGGTGCTGTTCTGAGCATTATTTGTGGCTATAGAGTGGCGTTTTGGTTGAGGGCGTGTCTCTCTGTATTTCTATCCTGCGGTCGTGACTAAAGTTGGTATAACTAGAGAAGCAAGCGGTCGGCAACATTCATCTCTGGAGGGGGGGTCTAACTCTGTGTTACAGTGTGTTTGACCCTAAATTGATTTTACGCCGGAATATCCCTTTAAAAAGCAAAAATGTCAAAGTCTGTAGACGAAACCTCAGCTGTAGAATAACTTCCTAACTTCATTGGCAGCCATCTTGGTTGTCTCCTGGACTTAAACTCCTCTTTTCTTTGAGATAAACAGTCTGATTGGTAAGAAAGACCAGCTGACCTCTGACCCCTCTGTTTGGAGATATTCCTGTCGTCTCTGTAAGTGTCCTCCTCCTCTTCCTCCTCTTCCTCCTTCTTCACCTGATGTGATGTCAGCTGTAATATCACTAAAGACTTCCTTAAAGAGTGGATCTGTGGCAGCGCTCTGGTTAATATTCCCACAGGGACGTCCTTTAAAGATGTGATAAATGATAGCCAACGCCGCGTCTGACACCTGCGATTAGCCGACATTCATCAACACGAACTAACCACTCCCCTCGAAAAGGCTCCCAGAAAACATAACCCCCGCAGTAATAAATGTACCCATCTCTGATAATAATTCACTGAAAAAAAAGACAAATGAGAGCGTAAATGAGTGGCCGGGAGCAGAGCTGCGAGTCTGCTAACGGGGACAAATGATAAAGCCAAGATTTGTCCTGACGGGGAAGTATTAATCCGTTCTCGCTCGGACAGCTCGGAATAAAAACAGAAAATAAAACAACTTTATAAATAAGAAGAAGGTCAAGTGTTTCTGCTAGACGCTCGCAAGCAGCCATTTACACGCCGCAGCTAAAGACGCGACATCCTGATTTAGACCAGGTGTGAGGAGCTTTTTAAACTCATGAACACCTAAAATACGAGGAGTGTACGGTCGTGTGTGCCGCTGCATTTGAAGACTTTAAACGTCAGACACATGACGACATATTTCATATCGTGTTCACGCCAATTACAAATAAAATCATCAGCATGAGTGAATTACACATGAAGTTAATGCAAAGTCACGATTAGAGACGAGGTCTTGTTGGGAAACAGCATGTACCAAGAGCAAATCCACGACACATCCAACTCACTACTCACTTTGTTCGCTTATTCACGAAAAATCATTGGCACCCACGAATGATTGGATACAGTTTGTTTGCTTCGTTGGGACTAATGACCCCATAAAGGACCTTTCTGTCGCCAACGATACTCTGGCTCTATTTCCATCCTCCACCATCTCTGCAGCAAACTCAGAGAGCGCTTCAATCTGAAACATGATCTAGACGCACGTGGCAAACACAACCGACTCTTCACGGTAATTTTCTGTCGTTTTTCACTTTTAAAAAGAACAGAAGAAGACATCAGAAACACTGCGTGATCACAGACCCCCCATAGAAACTGTTGTTCAGGACTGTGCACAACATGCTTACTGGCGCTTTCTACCAACTCGGCTACCGTTAACCGTTGTTCTAGTCTACACGCAACATTTTTGTTCCCATTCATGAAACGCTGAAATCGGGGACATTTCCAGGGACAGCTTCAGCCGGGGACAGGTCAACCAATACGGGGACTGTCCCCGGAAATCGGGGACGTCTAGTCACCTTACCTGGGATTTACACCACATCCAGAACGGCTTCGATCCGGAATGGCGCCAATTCCTACTGGATCCGTTTGTGACCCGCGGATTTACATGGAATCACACAATAACAAGTTGTCTCTCTAAAGACAGACACATAGACATATAAGCAGTAGATTGTGTCCTTCCAGAGGAGGAAATCTACTTCTAGACTTCTAGAATCAGCATCTCCTCATCCATGGTGTCATTGGGGTGAAATGACGTCTAAAAACCTTTCACTTGTTCGTCTCCGCCCGTTTGCATTGTGTGCAATACAGAGTGTTTTATTTTGAAAAGAAGCCGGATGTTTTATTTTGTGTCTGTGCCCGACTTCCTTTCCAGCACGGGTTAATCTGTGCTGAATTTATCCGCCATGCTCCGGCGTCCAGAAAAAATAGAACTCTTGTGATCAGCTGAGGAGTCCGGCGATCCGCAGAGGAACGGAAAGAAGTCGGTGTAAATTGACACGTTAACTTGAATGGTTACGATCAGCTACGATCGGAGGATACGACCTTTTAGGAGACGATCAGGATGAAGGTGGAGATCGGGGGTTAGCCTGCACCTCCTTCCTGTACGCTGTCTCACCTCCCTCTGCTATGAGACCCACCACCATTGTGTCGTCTGTAACAGATGACGTAACAGAAGCTGGAAAGCTTAAGAGAAAGAGGACCTGTTAAAAGAGACTTCAGCTTCTACACACGACTGATCTACGCTGAGACGTCTGGTGTTGGCCTTCACCTGCAGTCTGTGGTGGATGAATCCTGAAACTCCAGCGTTTGTACAAGAAGACAGAGCGTTACGACTCTTAAATGACAATAATGTGACAAAACTGATGCTTCAAAAACGTCTCTTCATATTTGGAGCTTCTGCTCATCATGACGCGTTTCTGATCGAGGTTTCTGATGGTAATGGGGCGTTTTTGTGTCGCTGCGTTTCTACTTTCCCCTGAGTAAAATCTGAACGCCCCCCTCTCTCTCTCTCTCTCTCTCTCTCTCTCTCATGCTCGCCCTGCGCCGCTCTGTCAGTTATTAGGCAGATTAAGCAGATTAAATGGATTTGCAGTGTTACTTTAGAGGTAATGATGAGACTAATGGCGGCTGTTTTTACTCCGTCAGGGTTTTTTTTTTCCTCTTCACAGCTGCCAGAATCCAGACCACTTAGAGATTTTAAGACTATGATCAGGCTCTCAGGGTTTTAAAAGATCCACTATGCAGACGGTGAAATATGGCCCATTTATGTGTGTGTGTGTGTGTGTGTGTGTGTGTGTGAGACTGATGGGGTGTTTCTGGGACGAGGCGACTGGAACTGAAAGCAAAGAGAATATTTCATGACTGCAGACATAATCAGACGTTTATCCACTCGTGAGCAGACGGACGTTTTCACTCCTTTTCTGCATTTTTACAAACTTAATGCAAATGTCGATTCTTTCAAAGACTCCTACAGCTCAGAAACTTTAATCTAACAAACACGAAATACACTCTCAAGTCACGCCTTTATCACGCCATGGTGGCGTTCCTACTGTTCCCGTCTCTAGATCTGGCGCTGTGGCGGGACGACTGAAGGTGAGACTTTACAGCGGTGTCAGTATTCAGGGACCAGAAAAAGGACTTTGGCGAGTGTTGGCGGCTCTGGAGCGGTAGCAGGTGTTTGCTTTGTCTCCGGGTGAGCGAAGAGGACAGACGGTGATTTATTTGTGCCGAGTTTAAGACTCTCTGCAGAGCTGGAAAAAGAGAGAGAGACAGAGAGAGAGAGAGAGAGAGAGAGACAGAGAGAGAGAGAGAGAGAGAGACCTCGGCGATGAAATCACTCAGACTGGATTCAGGTACGTTTGCTTATTTTTGGACCGGGTTTTCTACTTTGACGATAATTGTTTATCAAGAAAGTTTTTTTTTTTTCATAAAAATTACAGAAAATTAGACGAAGCCTCCGTCCACATTATTTCAAACTCATATGTATAAAAAAGTTTAATGTCACTGAAAACAGAGAGTTTGGAGAACGCCTCTAAAGATGGAGGTTTAAAATAAAACCTGTGCACAGTTAAAAAGAAAAAAACCTTTAATAAGTGGGTGTCGCCGAGTTTTTAAGTGTTGTTTTTCTGTTTTCATGATTTCATTTTATTCATTTCTATAATTAGATTAGATTAGATTTGATTTGATTTGAGGTACATTTAATTGAAAGTTTTCTTTAGCCCACCAGCTTTTATGGAGTTCACCTGAGAACCTGATCCATGCAGTAACACCTCTAGTCTATGTTCACACTGCAGGTCAATTCAGATTTTTTAACCATCTGTGACTCATATCTGATTTTTTCATCTAAGTGTGAACAGGTCAATTCTGATTGGTTCTAATCCGACCCAGGCCTCTTCTGTATGTGGATATAAATCCGACCTATACGTCATCAATATGTGACAAACGTCACCATTGTTCAACGACACAAACAGGCGCGGAAAGAAATTTGTCACATTAGATGCCGCATTCGTTGTTGTGATGTGAACGAACGCACAAAAAGATCGGATTTAACAAAAAGTCTGAATTGTGCATCAGAACCTGCAGTGTGAACGTAGCCTTGGTTTCCACTAGCAGAGGATTTACGTTGAATTACGAGGTTTCAGTCCTCTGTTTTTCTCACTGGAGACTCTCTTGACGTCAGTAATTTATATATATTTTATTTATACATATATTTATTATTTTTATTATTTAGATATTTATTGATGATGCACGCTCAGATGGTTTTAATGGTTTTCTTTTTGTCTTTTATTTTTATTTTAATTTTTAAAAATTTCAATTAAAAGTTTGTAATCACCTGAACTCTGCGTCTCCTTCCTTGTCCTTAAATTCACGATCTCGTCACTCCCACCTTCGCCGACAGATTCCTCCCTGCCTCCCAATCGTCCAATCGTCCTCCTTTGCAGGAACAGGGCGGGGGTCTTAAACTCAGGCAGAGGCAGACTCCAGAGTTTAGGATATACAGTATAATGTAAATAATATAAATAAAATAATAATATTAATAAAATAAAATATATTTACTGTAAAATGAAAGTCCAGAAGTGTTTCCTGATCGTGGGACTTCAGAGTCTTTAACCTCGCTTCCTCAGTCCTTTTGGATCTTCATCATTTCCAAATATGGTCAAACAGGAACTTGTTTCTTCTTTCTTCTAAGTGAGTTTATTTTCGCTCTACAAGCAGACGTTTTTGGCTTGGTGTGTATGTGGTTCCCTGTGCTTCTGCAGCGAGCCTCAAGTGGTCACTCAGGGAACTGCAGTTTTGCGCAGCTCGGTTCTGCTGCAGGTTTAAAACTGATGGACATGTTTTTTTCCGGTGTACGTTGTTAACTCGAACCTTCGCCACCTTTTGTCGCTCATATATCTGTATCTTCGATTCAGTTGCAGAGAAGAGCGTGAAGGGTCAAACCGTAACGCCGTGCCGTTGATTAAAACTTTCCAGGAGCCGATCTGCCCTCTCTGCGTTTCTTCCCACCGTCTGTCCGTGAATGGAGATGACAGCGCCCGGCTCTCCCTCGGTTTCAGGGTCCAAGCTTCAAAAGGTCTTTGTGCGTTTTACTGTCACAGAGAGCGTCTCTCCACGACGGGCCGTAATTAGTGTTTGTTAAGACGGATGCGGCCGCGTCCTCATTAGCATAGCGGCGTTTAATGAGCAGCTCCGTCACACGGCTCTAATCAGCAGGACAAACAAACAAGAGGAGGAAAATCATTACCTGCTGAATGAAAACACCACACGTCCCTCTGATATATTCAGGCCCAGTGAAACACGAGAGGGGGAAAGACGCTCCTTAAACAAATACTCCTCTCACTGATTAGTCGCTCTTTTATTCCTCTTTCTTTCTCGGCTCTTCTGTCCCAGATTTTTTCTTTCCCCAGTATTTTATATCGACTTAATTTGTCAGAGTTGTTTTTTTCTTTTAAAGCTCTAGTCCTCTGAGAAATAAAGAAACTGGTTTATAAATTAAACTCTGTTTTTTTTTTCAAATTGTGAGAAAATGAAAATATCAAGGAAATTAGATTTTACCTTCAGCAGTTTCAGCGGTCGAGTCCTTTATGAAAGAAAACACCTGATGGTTTGTAGATGATTTTAAATCTTTATTTTAAAGGAAATTTTGTGAGGAAAAATTATGAGAACCAAACACCATGTTCAGGAGCGCGTTTACGTGAAGGTGTCAGATAAAGAGGAGACGGGTTTTGGACTTTTTCAAGGAATACGGGGATCGGGTTTTTGTCTGGTAGAAGATTTCAGCTGCTCAAAAGTTCAGGGTCTCCATGTTGCTCCTAAACCTGGAGATATTGTTCAGCATTATGGTTAAAACCGAGGATGCAGCATCTAGGATTTCCAGTTCTTCGTTGAAAGGACAACTCGACTTACTTGAGACGTTTCGCCTTAGGCAAAACGTCTCAAGTAAGTCCAGTTGTCCTTTCCAAAAGAGAGTTAGATTTTAGTTTGATTTAGTTCACGGACACTGATATTAAAGAGATATTACCTACTCACCCACTCTCTTCCAGCAGCCACTTGTTTGTAGCGAGACCTCAGGCCAGTCCATTACGGACTACAGCGGGGTTTCGCAGCTCAAGGAAGAACATTTATGATGATTTCCTTGAAGTAATAATCACCATATTAATCATTTTACAGACGCGGTAGTTCTTCTGTCTTAGCGTCTCGGTCTGATTGTATTTCCATGAAGAAATGATCATAAATGTTCTTCCTTGAGCTGTGAAACCCCGCTGTAGTCCGTAATGGACTGGCCTGAGGTTTCCGTTGAAGTTAGGTGCTGTTCTGAGCATTATTTGTGGCTATAGAGTGGCGTTTTGGTTGAGGGCGTGGCTCTCTGTATTACTATCCTGCGGTCGTTACTAAGGTTGGTAAAACTAGAGAAACAAGCGGTCGACAACATTCATCTCTGGGGGGAGGGGGGGTCTAACTCGGTGTTTCGTTGTGTTTGTTTACGCAGGAATATCCCTTTAAGCCCATGTTGTGACTCCAAATACAGAGTCCTGTTGCTCCTAAGCCTGTAGATATTGTTCAGCATGAATGGACTCTGATTGCTGGATCTAGACTCAGAGATGTCCGGGTGGACCATCTTCTCTTCCATTTGGAGGACTCAGTGTCGAAGATTTCTAACGAGAGCGTCAGACCGGAGACAGTTTCCCACTTCTCCTCAGTCCAGCTCAGGTGGGCTCGACCCTGGAGAACTGCAGGTGTTTGTGGACCACAATGATCTGGTTTTCAGTTTGATCTGTTTTTGTGGAAGCAGCAGTGAACTGAGTTACAGTGAGAGGAATAAGTTTGTGGAACAATCTGAACAGAGAAACTAAAGAAGATAAATCAAATTTGATCTTCAGAGAAAGAGTCAAAGTCAGAATGTCGAGTAAATACAGAGAAACATGTCCATCGAAGTCTTGGTCTGTTTGTTTGTGAAAAAATGTGAATTAACGTGTTTTTTTCTTCTTCTGTTTGAAAATAAGAAATAAACTGTTAAAAGTCGTGTTGGCCTGCAGCTCTTTTTTATTTTTTATTATGTTTAGTTGATTATTATCTTGTGACAGAGGGGCAGACTGTGAGAGTTTTCTTCTTTCTGCTCCTTTTCATTCACATGTTTGAGGTTTTTCCTTCTTTGTATCGAAGGTTTTAAATATTAACTGAATGAAATAAAGTATAAAATAAAAAATCTACATAAACCGTGTTGGTGGTGATTTTGAGCCTGTAACATCTGTTTCACTGTTTCACAGCTTTCACAGTTTTTCTGGATGAATCTTCTAAATCAGAACTTTGACTTTTTTCCTGTTTGTTCGACATTCACAGATTTGGACGAGCGAAAATATTGAATTGAAGCATTAAGACTCAAGATTATTTGGAGATGTGTTCTCTGACTGTAATCACGTTTGGGGTCTAACCTTGAACAGTATCTAACAGGAACTCGGCCTGTTCTGGACCTGGTTTTGCACCATTTCGATCTCCTCAAAGGTTAGAACTAAAATAAAGACGATATTCAGGACTTAAATCACGGTTTATCTCCTCTTCATGTTTTGTACGAGTTCATGTATTTAATTTTTATTTTAATTCAGTGATTTTTGCACTAAATGGGAAGTCTGATTGTGGGCGGGCTCTAAATCGGCGCCCTGATGAACTCAAACAACAAACTTTCCGTCTTCATGTGAAAATCAGTCGAATAAAACCTGGAAATGAACCTTTACGGACTCACCTTCGCCTCAGTGCGGACTCTCCCTCTCCTGCCGTGACGGCGATTAAAACGCTCAGACCTTGACTCCACGCTCTGCCGTCTCAGCCGCTGTCTTCATAAATAACCGAGCGGCGTTAACGGCGGCGGTGTGAGCCAAAAACATTCACACTGTAACACATTAGCATACTAATTAAAACGCCGTTATATCCCACAGCATGCAGATCCTCACACTCCTCCCACTCACTAACACAGCTCCCTCTGGTCCGTCTCTGACCTCTGACCCCTCAGCGCCGCCACAATGACACATATTTCATTAATCCTCGCCGCACTCAGGTGTAATTAACGAGCCGGGGGAGCGACAGGAGGTGAATATCAATCCGTCGAGCGTTGACGATGTGGGCGGCGGCTCCTCTGTCCTCCTACATGTTCAGAGGTGTCCATCAAACGGAGAGCAGCGGCAAACACGGACGCTCCGGCAAAGGTCATTCACGCTCAGGATGCTGATATCAAATCCTCCGCCAAGCTCTCATGATCTGTCAATCTGAACGGCAGCCATGATGACTTCACAGCCGATTCCACGAAGTCTGCGCCGCTCTGCCGCGACAAGAGACGAGGAAAAGGTTGAACGGAATACAAGTTTAATTTGAGAGGAGGGAGAATCTGAGTCGATAAAAAACGACCAAATCAAATTATTTCACAGTATCAGGTCACTTCAAAATAAAAAATATTAAATAATCAAAGAAAAAGTGGCAAAACACATCCGTGGAATAAGATCTTAATGTTCCCGGTTCAAATCTTTGCTGATGATGAGACGATTTTTGTTATAATTTAACTCATAGAACTCAGATGACTCCATTAATATAGTTTACAGTTTCTCAGGAACTATACCGTGTACCTCTATTGGATCAAAAGTGTTCTAAAGTTTACCCTTTTGGCGATCTATCGAGGGTTTCCAGACATTTCTACACCTGCCACAAGGTTTACAATCCAGCCACAAAAACAGGAGTTTGATCAGAGACGTTTGATGGTAAATCCGCAGTGATAAACCGCTGAAAACAGGATTATTGATCAGATTATTGTGATTAAAAAAAAGATCCCTATCTCTAAATGCCGCTAATGTCTTCCAGGTTTGACAAACTGTTTTTATGACGTCTTTTTTGTCAAACTTTCGACCAATTACACGTTCTCATATTCTTCTTCTATCGTTCCCTTGACGGTAGTGTCCAATAAGAGACAAGAAAGTTCCCTGCTTGTCTGTAAAATCTGAAATAATGTTCATCAATGTTTGGAAACAAGTAAAGAAGAGATTCTGAACAGTATGATGTGGTCCTCTGTCTCATCCAGACAGGAACTGCTTCAAGGAGCGGCAGAAACAACTGTAAATAGTCAAAAACACCTGGAAGAATGAGTGTAAATATGTCAATAGTTTCTGTTGTGTGTTTGTTCCAATCCTAATATTTCTTCTCCTGAGAGCCAAGACATGAGAAAGCAAAGGAGTTTAATGGAGCAAAGTGCTGTTGGGATCAGCTTCTGTTTTTGTTCTTTGGTTGACTTTGATGGTTCTGGATCTACTGTCACATTTATTTTACATCATTTTTGCTCCATAAACTGAAGCTGAGGTTGTCCTGAAAAAAGAGACGCGTATAAGCGGACTAAAAACAGCTAAATATAGCTGTGTGTTTGAAGGGTAAAAGACTAACAGGAAATGTGCTGCACTGAACAACAAGAAGACCAATCATTGTTCAGGGTTTTAGGATCAGCAGGACTCCAATGTTTTCATCAGCGCAACAGGAAACGATCCAAAACTGAGAGCGAAATCAACCTGCTGCACAAACTCTTTAAAGATTTGATCTGAGACGTTTGACATGCAGAGATCCCTCTAAAGACCACGACGATGAGGGTCTGAAACTGTATGGAAACAAGTCCAGGTTCAGTGTGTTGCTCAACCGGAGTTTCTTCTTCAGGCGCCAAAAAAACGACCAGAAACAGAATTCTGACTAAAGTCTGGTCCTGTTCGGTCCGCCTCAGAGACTCAGATGTTTGAAGCGGCTCGAACAATAATCCAGCAGACGGGGAGGATGATGTGTGAGTGTGAAAGTTTACTCCTCAGAGCCGTCTCACCTTTGAATGATCTCCACGCCGACCTTCCCCGACATGAAAGTGATATTTGGACGTCCGCTGAATGAAGCGGCCTCAGAGGGAAACGTCTTGAGTCGGCTTCATACGGCTCTCCACGCTGAAAAGATGAACCCTCTGCTTTATCTGCCGCTCTTTATTCTCCTCTAATTAGCCATCAGCGTGGAGCCGCTCTCCGTCTCTCCGTGGCCGAGCCGCGGCACATCCTTTTCTTCTGGCACCTTTTGGGAAATTAATTCATTTATTGCTAAAGTGTCTTAATAATTACAGTGACATGGAGGTTAATTGCCTAATCTCTATAGCCATGGAGGCATCCCGATGAAATCCCCACACAATCTGTTACAGAAACAGCAGCCAGAAGATCCTCTGTAACCAGAGGGGACGCTCTGACCCAAATAAAGTTGTTTTTTTTTTCCTTTCTCTCTCTTTTAACATCCAGCAGGTAGCGGACAGGGAGCTCAGGTACGCTGTCATTAATTTCCCACTTTGATTTAAGGTTGGAAACTTGTTCTGGAGCTGAGGGAGAGAGAGAGAGAGAGAGAGGGAGGCTGTCTGAGTGCTCTAAAATATGGAGGTCCACTCTCACAATGTCAGCCAAGGACTCCTGTTACTACCTGTAAAATAAAAGTGCCACAATTTCCCTTTAATCCTCAACGCCTGAAATATGACGAGAAGTCTTTTTCTTTCCTTTCATGATCGGATTCGTCCTTCAAGATTTCAGAAATCTGCACATGCAAAAGTTGAGAAAGTCTGAAGTCATTCGGAGAAAATTTCCAAACTACAATTATTCCCTTCAAAGTAAAAGTCCGATAATCAGAGTTCAAAAAGGCCTCACCTGGAAAATCTGTCACCAATTTACAGAAGAAATTTACTCACCTGCTTCAAAAGTTCAAAACTAATTCTTTATTAAAACAGATCAGACCTAAAGACGCCAAATTAGAATATTAAACTGGTGTGTGTGTGTGTGTGTGAGTGAGAGAGAGAGAGAGAGGGTTTGTTTCATGCAGACATATATCTATAACTTACCCAAACTGAACCAAACAGAAAACCAACAGAGAGAGAGTCTGAAGGAGCCTCAGGGTCCAGGTGTAAAGAGATACATTAATTAGTGAGCTTCAGGAGGACACGCCTCCAACATGACATCATCCTCACAGACGTTCCTTTTCTGTGACGGCGTATTTGATCCACAGACTTAGAGGATAAAGTCGTTGTTTAAAGGTCGTTACACACCGATGAATGAGCGAAGCAACAAAAAAAGGAGACGTGAAAATGCAAAATATTCAGTTTACGCCTTTTCCTTCACACACCTGCTGCAACACGAACAAAATTTGCATATTCCCATAAAATTATGGTCTGTGGCGCTACGGGAGAACAAAGGCGACTACATCCTAAAGTGATGATGACCGTGGTCATGGTTGTAAGCCGATTAAATGACGAAAAGAAAAAGAAGAATAAAAAATATAATAATTATTATATATTAATTAATTAATAATAATCAATTAATAATACAATATAGTAATTTTATTTAGAAAAGAAAATACAGTATTACAGTCTTTCTGGGATTTGTCTCCTAAAGCAGGGTGCTCTTGCAGCAAACGATAAACCTCTCCATCATGATGAAACGAGCCGGTTTGGTTGTGACGTCATGATCCACATGCCAACAACATGCATGTTGATTGGCCAGAGGTCTAACAGCTCACCTGCGAATGTTCGCAAAATTCACTACAGGGGCGAAAAAAACTACAGTCGCTTTTTCACTCTGCAGAAGTTCGTAGCCGGTGTGGAAGCTTATATTGACTTTACAAGGTTTTTAAAAAAAGCGAATTATTCGCTACATAAATTCGCCCCACTGTGTAACGACCTTAGACTGGATATACTATGGACAACTTGGTTCCTCCTTCCACCTGTATACAGATTTGAAGCTGAAAAGCTCTCAGAATTTCCACGATTTTTCTTCATTTCCCGAAACCAACATTGCACAGTAGCGTTGTACGCATTCGGCGGTAGAGTCGCTGAGAGTCTCTGTGATGACGCTCGGCTCAAACAGCGTATCCTCCGGTTGAGCTACGCAACCTTCGTACTCCCATAGGCTGTATCAGGTGTCAATCATAGCAAACATGAACCCCCTAATAACTTTTAAAAATGGAGCTGCACAGAAAAAAGAGGACATGAGCACAAACCAGTCTGACAGTAACTACATGTCAACATCACAACCAGGGGGGAGAAACATTTATATTCTGTGTCATTCATTTATAAAGTTTGTCCACAGCTCCATAAGGAGGCGGGGTTTATGACCTATACTGCAGCCCGTCACCAGGGGGCGCTGTTGCCAGAGTAGCTTCACCCAGCGGGGAGGCAGACTCTCTAAATAGTCTTAACGACCTTAAGTCATCGATTAGTCACCACACGCTTCAGCTTTTCGCTCAGTCCTTCAGAGTCCTGATAACACTTTTCCTGTCGTTGTCCTCTCGCCTCGTCTTAAATAAATAAATATATAAATAAATAAATTAAATCTCCACTTGGCAAAAAGTTCGTTCTTAGCAAAACTTTCCCTGACATTGTGAAAATGTCCTCGCTCTCCAGAGAGTTATTACTTTGAAAAAATTGGATATAACTTCAAAAAGTGTCTTTACTCGGTAGAAACGTCTCCGCCGACTTTAAACACAATGTCCCCAACTTTGACGTTCGTCCCCACATCTAAAAAATGTCCCTCCGTTACCCATAATGCTCTGGCCTCCAGGCGAATCTCCCAGCTGTCCAAATTCTCCAAAAATGTCCAAACTGAGCCAAAGTGTTATTGATCCTGTCTCCTCGGCCATGATGTCCACGAGCTCCTGAATGTCCAAACTTTCGTCTCAAAAGTCCGTCTTTAAAGTCCTCTCCGTCTTCTCTCTCTCCGACTCTCAGGGTCCTCGTTACATATTCAGACGACAGGTCAATATGTCAAACACTCAGAGACGCACACACCCCTCTAACACCCAGGGGGGCGGGGCCGGTCTGTCGCCACCGTGCCGACGCTTCGCCGCTGATGGATGTCGGCCTGGATCCAGAGGTGATGGATGTCGGTGTCACTGCAGGCAGCGGTCCGAGGTGGAGAGGGGGACGGGGTCACGGCGCTCGTTGGTCGGTACTCTGTCCAGGTACGCTGACAAGATGTCCTCCTCCCTCCCCCACGGGGGCGGTCCAAAGACAATGTCCCCGCGCCGAGCGGAGTGAAAGGTCAGTAATCTGTGATTTATACGGAAGAGTCCAGGGACGCCGCTGAGGACGCTGATCCACGACAAGGGGAGAGTTCGCTCTGACCGAGAGGACGCCGCGTGCTGTGATGTATTTCCTGTTCTCATTAGTAAACCGAGTCAGAACCAGCTCGATTAGCTGTGTGTGTGTGTGTGTGTGTGTGTGTGTGTGTGTGTGTGTGTGTGTGTGTGTGTGTGTGTGTGTGTGTGTGTGTGTGTGTGTGTGGAGCATGAAGAGTTAAACTTACCAGACATTCACGGACACGTTTCAGTTCTCAGGGTCACTGATTCAGAGATCCGAAAAAGAAACGATCTGTGCGTCCGAACAGACAATCCTGGTTTAGGACGGCGGTCTCAAACTCAATGAGCGGGGGGGGGCACTGCTGGCACTGTCATTATCTCAGTGGGGGGGGCACTTCAGTGTTGGAGACGAGTCTAAGAAAACAAACAAACAAACAAAAACACAAATATTCCTGAAAACCAGCGCCTCTGTTTTTTTCATGGGCGGTGCACCGTTAGCTGAGATGCCCACCCGTCTGTTCCACGGCAGACCGAGCCGCTCCATCGCGTCACACAGTTGGGAAAGTCCCGCCTCCTTCGCCTCTGATTGGCTAGAAAAGCTGGAAACGTCATCACACACTCAAGCCAAACGGAGGCGATAAGATAAGCACATGAAACCATGGTAACGACCGTTAGCTTACGTTAGCACAGATGAAAGTTCAAACAAAGACGTTTATCAAACTGTTAAAGCTCACAAACCATCAACAACAATCAGCCGGTCGGCCATGTTGGATATACCGGTGAATTTGACATCGCAACAACACGCAGTCTGATTGGTCAGAAGTGGACACACAGTATGAGAAACTTTAGAAAAATCGACCGTGAGACGAAAAAATAAATGCCGAAATATCGCAGGACGGGAAAACGTCGCTGATGTGAACGCTTGTATTGACAGGATACGGGTTCAAAAAAAATATTGACGTCTGAAATAATCGCACAAAAAAAAGGACCTTTAGACGGATGGCGTTTCCACCGAAATCAACAAAAAAATACTGTGACGTCCATTTTTCTTGGACTTGTCTGTTCGTCGTCCACTTTCCTCTTACGTTTGGAGAGCGACATCTTGAGCTTCTTCTTCTTCTGCGCTTCTCTTTCATGTCGTCAGGTGTGAAGTCATTTAGGATTTAATTATCCAATAATAAATAAAAAATAAATAATAAATGAAAATAAACCTGAAGGGCTGAAATACAACGAACTTTTTACATCAAGATGAGGGCCCGAAGTGGCCGGGAGTTTGAGACCCCTGGTTTAGGATTTCAGTTTGGCCGATCAGACGTCACCTCTTGGCTCCGCCTCCCCTGAACCCGATTATCTCCTGATTGGATATGTTAAAGTAGAGCAGGTTATCCTTCACTGACAGACCTCATTAATCAAACCCAGATTGTGACGTTTAACGCACAGACGAGCTGCAGCCTGAACCTGCTCCCAGAATCCCCGTCAGAGCAGGTTTTTCTCCGCTCCGGTCTCCTTCCAGTGATCGGAGGAGAGTTATTGATCGGCCCTGCAGCAGCAGCAGCAGCAGCAGCAGCAGGTCAGTTAGCACCAATAACTCCAATCAGAGAGTCATTGTGGAGAGCAGCAGCTCTGCTCCTGCTGACTGGTCGTCCGACTGTTTCTTTAATCATAATAAAAGTCGAGGGATGAAGTGTTCATATTTAGATGTTGATATTCAGTAACTCTCCCTCAGCTGTCTGTCACGCAGACGCACAGAAACAACCAGCTCTGACAGCCGGAGCGTGATGCCATCAGCGGCTAACACTCGGTTACAGTCAGTGACATTTCATTTTTCACAGCCAATCAGGCGGCCCTTCACATGCCGACACTGCGGCATTCTGGGGTTGTCCGAGTCACACTGTCTACATCCGCGCTGACGGGCCATTTATCTCTGTTTGAAACGCCGGCAGAGGCGGGGACGGCGGCCCCTTCGGCGCTGTAACGGCGGGAAGGGAAGGTGAACAAACAGCTTTTCAGGAGGGAAACCGTGAGCATTCTGCAAAAATGTCCGCCGCCGCCGCCGCTGCCGTCCTCGGGGGCAAACAACGCATTTAATTTGGTGTTTAATAGGTTGTCATAACATGGCAGACGGTCTGTGAGAGTGATTGAATAAACCATTACCTCCCCCCGCAGAGGTGGAGGGAGTGTGTGTTTAGGGAGCGAGGAGGAGAGGAGAGGAGGGGAGGAGGGGACTTATGAATGCCGAGAGTGTCTTTGAATATAAGAGCAGGAAAATAAACTGTCACCGCGCTGAAGGTACAAAGCATCATTACTGTTTCACAGGTCGCTCCACTCTGTTCGGATTCTGATTCAACTTTTGGACTGAAACTCTAAATCATGACTTCATGGAAAAACAATCAGACCGAGACGATGAGAGAAGAAGAACAACGGTGTCTGTAAAATGATTAATATGGTGATTATTACTTCAAGGAAATGATAAAGAAATGATCATAAATGTTCTTCCTAGAGCTGCGGCACCCCGCTGTAGTCCATAATGGACTGGCCTGAGGTCTCGCCACAAACAAGCGTCTGCTGGAAGAGAGTAGGTGAGTTGTGTTTAGTCTAATGAGTCAAAGTTAAAAAGATGTTTGGTGTCTAGTACTATGTCTGTGACCCTATATGTCCTGTTGATGAAGTTAGGTGCTGTTCTGAGCATTATTTGTGGCTATAGAGTGGCGTTTTGGTTGGGGGCGTGTCTCTCTGTATTACTATCCTGCGGTCGTTACTAAAGTTGGTATAACTAGAGAACCTGCTTTAGCTCCCGTACGACCTCTAAAAACCCGAGCAGTTTGCTGTCAGATCCTTTGCAACAAACCCGGGTCTCGATCAAACCTGAGCTCGTCTCTAGAGGACGTCGGCCTTCTTGGTGGAGGATCATTCGACTCTTACCCCCAATTTCCACCTCTTCCTGATCGGCTGTGAAAAGACCAAACCAATCGTAGCTGATCATAACCATACATCATACGGATCGCCGGACTCCTCAGCTGATCAAGAGTTCTATTTTTTCTGGACGCCGGAGCATGGCGGATAAATTCAGCACAGATTAACCCGTGCTGGAAAGGAAGTCGGGCACAGACACAAAATAAAACATCCGGAGGCAAACAAGTGAAAGGTTTTTAGACGTCATTTCACCCCGATGACACCATGGATGAGGAGATGCTGATTCTAGAAGTCTAGAAGTAGATTTCCTCCTCTGGAAGGACACAATCTACTGCTTATATGGTTAGACTCTGTGGCTAAGAGAGAACTTGTTATCGCGTGATTGCACGTGAATCCGTGGGTTCTTGTGAGTTCTTGCGATTCCTGCTGTCCGTAATCCACCACAGAATTAACCTCACAAACGGATCTGGTGGGATTCGGCGTACGGTGAAAATCACCACCGTTCCGGATGCGGTGGAAATCCCGGGTTAAAGGTAAGGTCACTGACAGGCGATTTCAAAGAAAACAGGCCTGGAAGGTAAAATTGAAATTCTCCCGTTCTACTTTTGAAGACCTCAGTTGGGTAATAAATAAAGTCAGACTGAATATTAATCTCAGATTCAATAAAAGCATCAAAAGCCGAAATAATTGCCTCTAAAGTCGTAACTTTTCTGAAGTGTTCAGACCAAGAAAAGGTCAAATCTGTTCAGCTTTGACTTCTTCGTTTTGTAGCTGGATTACCTCTGCGTTCTTCGAACAGTTCGGTCGCGTCTGTTTTTAGCTGATTGGAAAGTTGAAGGGCGGTGAGCAGCGGCTCTGCCCTCTCCTGAATATGGATATTTCCTCCTACGCACCTGTCTCTAACAAACCAAAGGTGTGCGTGAGCTTTCATCTCAAACCAGATCTGTGTAGGAGGAGGAAATCATTTTATTGATATCTGCTGCTGGATGCCACTCACTAACTCGCTCGTTCCCACCAATTAGCAGGTGACCTCGGGGGGCAGCTAACAAGGTCGCCGGTTATGGATTGCTCCCGTATTTGCTTACATAACCCGATCATGAGCTCCGAAGATGAATTACGCCACAAACTGTTTCAGACAAGCCCGCTGGATATTAATTTATAAGCTTTGATTCATATATTTATAACTGCAGTGAGTTATGAGACAGCAGCGGGGAACATGGAGGAGAATTTAAAACTGGAGCAGAGCGAGGAGGACGGAAAAAAAGAATAAGGACCTGTGTCACCAAACAGGCTCATTTTAGTCTTTCTATTTCAGTAAAACCTCGTACCAGGTCTCACGGAGCGGGCCGGGATCCGGCGCAGGTAACTCGGTTTATCGGGCGTGTTCAGGTGAGGAACGAGGAGATCTTTAACAACGAAACTGAAAACTGCTTCACAATTCACTTCAGGTTTCTAATCGGATAATTAGGAAGAATCAATCAAATATTTAATGAAGGTGCTTTTACACCGCAGAAGAAGAAGAAGAAGAAGAAGAAGAAGAAGAAGAGGACAGAGGATTATTACACAAAAACAGTTTGATAAAAAGTTCTTTATCCTTCAGTGTTTGTTGTATTTTCAGAAAAGCCGATGAAAACTTTCTTCCATATCAACAGCTAATTATGACAAAATTCTGAGCACATTTTTAAAGTTTTACGACAGGAGGAGTTTGTGTTATATCAAGGGTTGTGGGTTTTTTAAATTTTTATTTCACCTTTACTTAACCAGGAATGTCTCTTTGAGATTAAAAACCTCTTTTTCAAGGGAGTCCTGGCCAAGAGGCAGCAAGAAATTACAGTTTCAACACAATTAAAGAGTTAGGGTTTAGGAGTTAGGGATTAGGGTGAGAGATTACAGTTAGGATAAATGGAACACGGTTAAGGTTGGGGTTTGGGTTACGGTTAGGAGTTAGGGCAGGCATCTCCAAACTCTTCCACAAAGGGCCGGCGTGGCTGCAGGTTTTTCTTCCAACCAAGCAGCAGCGCACCACACTTGATTCATTTCATCAGCTGATCTCAGTCTTCAGACAGCTGATTGGTCAGACTGCTGCTCTTGATTGGTTGGAAGAAAAACCTGCAGCCACACCGACCCTTTGTGGAATAGTTTGGACATGTCTGAGTTAGGGTTATGAGTCAGGGTTTGGAGTTAGGGTTAGGATTTGTGATTACAGTTATGATAAATGGAATACGGTTAAGGTTGGGTTTAGGGTTAGGGCTCCTGTTTTCAGGTAGGGTTAAGATATTCAGATTTGGGATTACAGTTTAAGTTAGGGGAAACAGGCGGAGACGAACAAGTGAAAGGTTTTTAGACGTCATTTCACCCCGATGACACCATGGATGAGGAGATGCTGATTCTAGAAGTCTAGAAGTAGATTTCCTCCTCTGGAAGGACACAATCTACTGCTGATATGGTTAGCCTCTGTGGCTTGTGGCTTGAATCCGCAGGTTCTCACAAATGGATCCGGTAGGAATTGGCGTACGGCAAAAAATGCGGTGGAAACCCCAGGTAAGGTGATCAGACGTCCCTGATTTCTGGGGACAGTCCCCGTGTTGGATGACCTGTCCCTGGCTAAATCTGTCCCCTGGAATGACCCCGATTTAATCATTTCCTGAATGGGAACAAAAATGTTGGGTGTAAACTAGAACAACGGTTATTACGCTAGCAGAGTAAGTAGGAAGCACGAGTAAGCATGTCGCCGCCGTTCCGGATTCTATAAACTCCCCCAGAGAAGACCGGACAGCCCCCCAAAAAAGAGGACATGGTCACCCTGACTAATGTGTATTTTTGTTCAGGTTCTCCTCTGGGTCCATATTTCCAAAGTCCAGAACACTCCTGTTATTGTTTTCCAGTTTTAACTTTTAAATATGATGTTGAAGATGCTCAGCTGCTGAGTTTAAGATCTGAATGAAACAGCAGCACCGTGTTTTAAGACGGTTTTAAGACGGTTTTGTTGATTAGACAGTGAAAACATCCGAGGGTTTCTGCGACTTTGTTGTTCAGTGTCTCCTCGGCAGAGTTGTTCGTGTTTCAGAGGAGAACGACGTGACGGTCCCGGGTGAGGATCCATCACGCTACAGCGGGGTGTGATGAAAGCGCCGGCGTGTGTGTAGAGGAGCTAATGGAGCGTGATATTGGCCCGTTAAAGTTTAGCTCCCTGCAGCGCCGCAGGACAAGTGTCCGGCTGTCCGAAAGTGATGTCGGATTATGAGACGTCTCACCTGTCGGGATGACGGACAGCTGAAACCTGTCATTGAGATGACGCCGCTGACATTTCCTCCGCGGAAAGCGCCGCTCTGAAGGGAACGGTTAAAGGTCCGGATATGAAAGAAACTCCAAAGCTGATAAATCTGACAGAAACAGTTGGTGGAAATTTCATCTGTAGGTGAACCGAGAGTGTGCAGGTGTGTTCCTTTATTTTCCTCGCTCGCTCGCTCGCTCGCTCCCTCGCTCTCTCCTCACTCTCAGGGTCTAACGGTGTAAAAGAAGAGCCTCCTCTCTCCCTCTAATAGATTTGTCTCCTCTGGGATTCGGCTCTGATGTCTGATTTCATCCTCTCTGCTCTAAATGTTGGAGCTGATGGACTGTATCCCTCCATCAGCCGACCTCTGACCCCTGCAGCCTCCCAGCTCAATCACAGCTCGCCCCGAATGAAGGCGTGTGTGTGTGTGGAGGTTATAAAAGCATTTACCTGTCAGTCAGTGTTCAGGGCAGCAGCAGAATACTGAGAGACGAACAGGCGGTTCTGTTTTTTTAACACCAGATCGGCAACGGCTCCATCGCTGCAGCGACGCAGAGATGAGCTACGACCTTCAACCTCCGCCATCAACCGTGATCAAATACTGTCCGATCGCAGCTAACACCACCTGACTTATATCGCATCATGAGTCACCTGACTGTAGTCTGACAAATAATAACGTCCATCAAATCACAACAAGTGCTCTCTCCAGATACTGAACAGAAAAGATGGACTCTGTTTACAAAGACCAGTAAAGACTGTATAAGTGACTCTAACGGGATATTTTTAACCCGGGATGAGGACCGACCGAGCGTTCACGCCATCGACTCGCTTCATTTACGCGTACCTAGATGTGTGAATTAAAAGAATTTACTCGCGTCAACAGAGCGCTAAAAGTCGGAATCAAGTGATAAACAAGTTTTTCACAACTCACCAGATAATCCGACCTCCTCACTAACTTTCCACAAACACGAGCAAACTTGATTCTGCACTCAAACCTGATCTACTAACCGGGAGCACCGAGGATCCCGTCTGTCAAATGAGCAGAACAGCACGTAATCGAGTTAGCGTGTTTGCCTTCATGACGACGCAGAATGTTTGTAGATCATCAGAACGCGCAAAATCCTGGGAGGAGCAGATAAGAATAGAATCATGTTGAACCCGAAATGTGATTTATCAAACCAGGAAACCGATTGCGGTCGCTGTTTTGCGTCTATATTTAGTACGTTTGAAATGAACGTGTGAACTGGAGCGGCGTTACGAACGGTCATCGTGGGGAGGAGGAGGCAGGAGTGTCGTGATAGACGATATGATCCTCGTCCAAAAGCTTCTGATTTATTTCGTTTTTCCAGTAAACGACGATTTTTATAAATAAAAAGGTCGAACATGAAACAGATGAAAAAAACGATGTTTGTCTTATTGATTTGAAATCGTTTTAATCCCTTTTTTGATTTCTAGTATATCTTCTCGTATCTGTAAAGACCTTTGAATCTCCTCGTGTATGAATGGTTTCGACACTCGGCTCTCACTAACTCTCTACGGTGACGGCCGATAGCGCACGCAAAATCCCCCTTTAAAGAGGGCGGTCCGCACCACTTTTTCTCCTGCTATCAATTGTGCACCCAAAGCATTCTGGGTAATCACAGCCAGACTCTAGAGTGAGTCTGATAAATGTAGATAATACTGTCGGTATCGATGTTTCATCTTCGCAGCTTCTTCTTTGTTTGATCATCTTTTTTCTCTCTTCTCTTGAATTTTAAAGCCGAAACACGAATTCTTCTTTCGTCTGAAACTTTCTCCTGGCGTCTTTTTAAGCTCCTCCCACTTCATGTTCAAATCTGGGCTACATCTCCATAAAGAGAGGAAACAGAAACGGAGCTTTGATGGACTTCATGATTTAACTGAGGGACAACGTCAACCTCTGAAAAGTGAGTCTGAGGAGATCCTGCAGAAACGAACACTCTGCAGTAAGTCTGTCGGCTGTAAATTCATGTTTTCATTTCTGGTTTTGGAGGATGGAGGGCTGTAATACCTCATTTTTTTAGAGATAGAAAGCTGATATGAGGACACGGTTTGAGTCTCTGTTTATGAGACGTTTGGTCAGTTTGAGGAAAACGTTGTATCAGCCACACGAGCTTCAGATTTCTCGTAATCAGCCGACAGATTTGAAATAAACTTTACAGAAAGTTTCAACAGTTCGACTTTTTACCGACGTCGACGTTCTCATCGCCGACACGCTCTCTGACAAACTGACTTTTTAGGAAACGTCTGACAACGCCAGCTTCCATTACATTATGAAACGTGAATAAGTGGATTTATGGGCTGGTGCTTATTTGCTCTTCACTTTAAGGAGGCCGGATGACGGTTTGACAGGCGGCTGATAGGAGCTGATGAAGAGTCGGGGGGGTTGACAGAGAAAGTGTTGCACAAATACGACAGAGTGAAGGTCAGTCGGAGGCCGAGCGGCTGACAGCGCCTTTTTAAATAATGAAGATATGAAAAATTGAAAATGAGCAATTTGATTATCCTCTCGTCAGCAGCCTCAGTGATGCATGGAGGACGGCCGGCCTGTTTGCACTTCATTTCATTAGAGAGGAGGGGGGGGGGAAGGAGCTGATAAAGTGAACAGGTCGCCGATTGGATATCGAAAAGATGACAGCGGGCGCCGCTCGATTCAGTGACGGGTGGCGTCTTCTGTGGAAGATTGTGATCTGACCTGGAGGTCGCTGGGAGTTTATTTTACTTCTCTGTTATCTTTAGGAATATATTTAAAAGTTTAATTAAAAAAAAAATGTTTACAGAAAATTCAGCTTTTGTGTTTTTTAATGTTCCTGATGTGACAGAAGCTGTGGTGACTGTAAACGTGTGACAGGAGTTCGTAAAATCAGCGTATTCTTCCAAAGACATCAGTCAAATCGAAGAAAACAGCTGCAGTGACAAGAGGCCAAAAAACACGACAGGGAAGCAGTGTAGCCAACTCCTCAGAAAGGGAAGTAGTTATTGGCCGTCCTAAAAGTCGCTACATGGCGTCATCGCCTAATTTGCATAATTGGCCAAATTGTCATGTAATTTGTCCAAATGTTACGCTGTAAGGGAAAGAAATAACGTCGCAGGAGGGACAAAAAGTGAGTACAATCACCCCAAATATGTTCAGAACTACAAATGAACTTTTTTTCCTTTATCCGAGCTTGGGACCGGAAAAAATGACCAAATTGAGACAATTTGACAGAGTTACTGAGTTTTTTTTCTTCTTCTTTTTTTAAAGTTTTGTTTGGCTTCAAACAACAAAAAATTTAAAACCTGAAAAATCTAAATTTTTCAGGTTTGATTGAGTGTTTTTTACATGCTTATAACTCAGGAAATCCACGTGACACAAACTCAAACCTGCGTACAAAACCCCGGACATTTGAAGGAGTTTATAAACTCCCCCGGACAGGCCGACCAGCCCCCGAAAAAAAGACGACATGTCCGGGTAAAAGAGGACGTATGGTTACCCTACCTTTACCTGCTGGTCTCAGCCCACCTTGTGTTTAGCTCTTCGGTTTTTAAAGCACTTTAAAATAAAAATGACTTTACTAAAACATTTTAAAGATGTAAGGTTAAACATTATCTACAAACACACAAACACACACTGTTCCACCCTCTGACGTTTTTGAGTAAGTTCCTAGTCGGACCGTTTTGAAGGATGGACCGACTCACAAATTACACAATACACGTCTGCTTTGATACAGCGCCGGGTAAAATCTTTGTAAGTTAAAACACGACAACATTATTGTCAATTTACCGTTTATCTGTTTACCTTATGTTATACAGTTTATCACGTTTCTGACCATCCATTTTTATGAATTAAACTCGCGATTTGTTCTGCCGATGTAGCACTTAATCAGCCCAGCAGAGAGCTGCGGCGCTTCGCCTCATACAGGTTTATGTACATCTGTCAGTTTATATATATATATATATGTGTGTTACTTTACAGCAGACGTTACATTTTGTATTGTTTATTTTTATTTGTCATTTCAGTCTCACAAAAAAAAAAACTAATGAGAAGAAAACTGGAAAATAAAAATGAAGAGAAAAGAACGAACAATCTTCAACAAGACTACAGAGTTTTCTCTTCACTATCTGTCGTTAACTATCTGTCACATGGAGCCGACATATAGAGAGGGCAGAATACACACACACACACACACACACACACACACACACACACACACACCTCTGAGCTCAGCAGTGTGGAGGAGATGCTATCAAGCTTTCAGCAGCCGAGCTCACAGTCATACGTCACCAGCTGGTGTCGAGTCATATTACAGGACCTGAGGGTGGAGGTGCAGAGGTGTGTGTGTGTGTGTGTGTGTGTGTGTGTGTGTGTGTGGAAGGAGGGGGGCGGAGTCTGTCTCAGCTCTGTCCATAACCACAGGAGGCTGCTGTGATTGGCCGCCCTGGTTATGGGATCCGGACTCAGCCGGCCCTCACAGGAGGATTTTTGATGCGTGTTCCACGTTTCAGAAAAACACTCGCCACTCCTGAACAGAGTTTTAACGCAGAGGTGTGTCATCATGGTGTCCACAGACAAAAAACAGAAAGTCACGCAGAAAACGAGAGGAAGATCCTGTGACCTCAAACTCCATCAGTCAGACTCCTCCCTCTCGCTGGTGTCGGCGTCTCGATGACCAGCTCGCCACGTCAGCGTCCTCCCGCCCCGTCAAAGTCCGCACAGTCGACTCTCTTTGGCTGCGCGTCGCTCCTCATCTCTCCTCGCCATCTCTGAGCCGTCCAATTAAAAAGTTAGAAATTAAAAACAGAGCGTCAAACCTCGCTCTCTGTCGCTTTATCATCGAATCAGCTGCTTTGCATGTTACCTGCTTAGACTGCAGTTTGTTAACACACACACACGCACACACACACACACACACACACACACACACACACACACACACACACACACACACTCAGAGTCAGTAACCTTGTACAAAGATTTATTTTTGCAAGCTCAGTAGCCGGTTGTGTCAGAGCTAATTGAAGGTGTGAAATATGCTAATGAGTGTGTGTGTGTGTGTGTGTGTGTGTGTGTGTGTGTGTGTGTGTGTGTGTGTGTGTGTGTGTGTGCGTGCGTGCGCGCTGACAGATACTCAATGTTCATTCCATCATGCAAATGCGCTACAGCTGAAAATTTACTGCTTTGTTTATGAATCAGCTGATCGATAAGTCATTTGAGTGTGTGTGTGTGTGTGTGTGTGTGTGTGTGTGTGTGTGAGTGTGAGATTGACACATAACAGACAACTTTGGCTAATGAGGACAAGCCCCGCCCACCTGCTCCTGATTGTTGTCGCCCCTACAAGTTGATTGACAGGTCTGATAAAAACTACTTACTGCACCTTTAACACTTTTGAAGTCTCTGAAAACGTCGCAGCTTTCAGAAACTTTTGTTTTTAATACATAAAATAAAAAAAACAGCTGTATTCAGTGACGGGAGAACCGTCATCTGGACTTTGGCGTTGACTTTAAGGTCTCTCCAGGTCTGAGCGCGGCGGACATAAGTGAACACTGAGAGCTGAGTGTTGCTCTGATCTGCTCGGACAGACACATCGATCCTCGCCCTGCCGGGGGTTTGGACAGAAAAGACTCGGGTAATTGGCGATAAAAGGCACCTCCAGTCTCCCGCCAGTTTAAAGGTTATTTTGTCACAAAGTTCAGCTCCGAATACAAACGCCGCACGCTGACAGCTCTGGAGAGACTTTTCAAAAAACACCGGTTCTGGTCCGGAGAAACTTCAGAGGCCTCGGCTGAACCTTTACGTTTGGAAATTCTCCGGGTGATTCAGCGCGCCGCAGTCAGGACAAAATAATAACATCCAATCAGAATTTAATAAAAACTAATGAAATTACATCGCTGCCTTTGCTCATCAGAGCCGAGCGGCGAGATGATTACGACGGGAATAATGCGGCGGGTATTTCTCCAGGAAACAGGTCCCTGTGAGCGCGCTGATGACTGCGGTGATCTCGTCTCATAAATCACAGGTGAGGGGGGTTTCGTCGTAATTCAGTTTAGAGGTGAGCGTGCGCACTTCTCCGGAAACGCTTTGAAATCCTTCGCCGTTGAAAGATTTGGAGAGGGGGTGACGGGGACGCCATTATCTACATCTGAAAGGTTATTTTGGACTGAAAACACGAGTCGATCTAAGAGAAACGAACAGACTGATTCACTATCAAACAAATCTCTTCTTCTTCAGTCTGAATTATTTAATCTGTTTCTCTCTCTTTTAAAAAACTCTCTGAAGTCCAACCACAAGTTTAAAAAATAAGTTTATTTCGAGTTGATCGTTTGTCGTTCCTTCGCCTGAACTGAAGTCGTCTTTTTACTCTTTTCTTCGCCTAAATTTAAGTTCTGCTTCGTTTAAAAAATGACGGTGTTGGGGTGTCTTTGTTTCACTTTCTCACATGATATTCAAGGAAAACAAAAAGTCTGTTTGTACTTAAATGTTTTTATTGATGATATTTTGCCAGGAAGCTTCACCTAAAACTGACGAGAGTCGGTAAGTAAAGGAAACGAAGACGACGCCTGGAGCTGCAGGGTGTCGGACGGTTCATCTCACTCCAGAATTGACTCTTATTTTTTATTCAGTCTCCTCTTAATAAACATATTTGAATGTAAGAGATACTCAGATTTATCCTGTACAACATTCAGACTCAGTTTTCTCTGAATTTTCTTCGTCTGAATGTTTTGTCTTTACTTTCATATTTTACACTAACGACTTCGTCCATTTGCGTTTTGGATAGCGGATTGAAACATGGTTGAACTTGACCCCATTGAGAGGAAACCTGACTACATTCAGACCTTTGACCTACGACCTTCTTCGCTCGTTCGAGTTACTCCGAAAGTCAGATGTCGGAGATGAAAATGACGTCACACTCGAGTTCCGAGCGTTTCAGTTACCAAATCGGAAAAAAAAAGAAAAATCGGAGGCTGAAACAAGATGGCGACATCGACGAAAGTTATTTTAGCGCTTGAGTCGTCTGAATATAAGGCAAGTGCTAAAGTAACTTTCGTCGATGTAGCCATCTTTGTTTCAGCCTCCGATTTTTCTTTTTTCCGACTTGGTAACTGAAACGCTCGGAACTCGGGTTTGACGTCATTTTCAGCGCCGACATCTGACCTCCGAATAACTCAAACGCAGCTTTATTCCTCTTTCCAAACGGAGAATTTTTATCTTACCGTATTTTTCGCACCGTAGTATAAAGCACATTAAGCCGAAGGAAACAGTCAGATCAGTCAAACGTTATTTTTACGGTAGCTGCAGCGCTCCGACAAGCCAAAAGGATTTGAAGTGCGCCTTATAGTGCGAAAAATACGGTAATTCTAGCAGCAGAAATGAAGCGCTAACACCTGCAGTTCCACGAGTGTCCACTAGGTGGCTCCGGGAACCATGTGCACTTTTACAGACCGGTTCAACAAAAGGTTCTGGTCTCCATCGAGTCTTTTTGTCAAAGGTATGACGGTTACAGAATCGGCGAATCAGAGGCACGGCTGACTTGACTGACAGGCGGACGTGCCGGAGCTATTCGTGAGGAGGCGAAAGGCCCGCCTCTTTGAAACTCTTCTTTACAGACAAATAGGCGAAGTCATCTTTTTAACTCCACATCCACCTGATGCAGACGCTGACGGGTGAGAGCGCGTCTCCGAAGGACCCTCCTGAGTGTTCGGTCTGCGTGTGTTTACGCTCTGAAAACCTCAGCTGGATTCTCTGTCAGCGAAAGCGGAGAGAGCGCTCTCCTCGGTGTCGCCGCTGTCTCGACTTTGAGCCGATGAGAGGAGGACCTGTGGGGAGGCGGAGATGAAGTGAAAGGAAGAGGAGGGATGAAGGGAGCAGCTTCTCTTTCATGCGGTGAAACGTTTCGCCTCATGGCTGGTAATGTCTTGTCAAAGTTAATGTTCGCTGCGGTCTGCTGTCGTTTAGCGGCGGGGTGGAGGTTATTGTCGGAGCCGTCCCACAATCTACTGGTCCAGAAATAGCCGCCAAACAATTGAATCAGCATGGAGTTTTATTCTTTCTCCCCCCGCCTGCTGCCGCCGCCGTCCTCCATCCCTTCCTGTTTTGAATCAGTTAACCTTTCTGTTCGGGGCGGCGCGGCGGGGTCTTGCTCCGCAGATTAGCCACTGACGCATTTATCAAGGGATGACAAATGAGCTGTCCTTCCAGATGCCTGATTACTTGACCTTTATTCCACAGGAGCTGGGCGGTTAGCGGGGAGGGGCGGGGGGGTCCTGATGGGAGCTAAGTGGTGCCAGTCTTGTATTCGCCGGCCCGTCACGAGGGGAAACGCCTGGATGCAACACCTCGTCGCTGACGTGAACAGGAATTAAGAAAGAGGTTATTAAGATTGGCCGGCGCTGAGGCGAGGTAATTGAAACTCCTGCATTCTCCAGAAACAG